CGGCCTTGTGCATCAATGGCTTTGGCATTGGCGCCGCTGTCCAGCAACAAGTGAGCAGTTTCCAACTGACTATACAAGGCCGCCACATGCAGCGGAGTTTGACCTCATTCACTTGGACCGTGGTGGTTTCCTAGGCTTACCCCCAGTCGTCCCTTTGAAAATAGGAGTTTCCAATTATACAACAAGCATTCTGGGTTGTTAAGCATTTGAAGAACCCCATAAAAGAAAAAAACAACTCATCCATCTTATTTGGGCAAAATATAATAATTCACTAACCTGAAACTTGCGGCCATCTTGGGATGATTCCCCTTATTAGCCATGATTCCAGGGTTCGGGAGAACAGGGTTCGGTCGTTCTATAATTTTCCCAGATCTTATCATCTTGGTTGATTCTTGATTATTGTTGGCTATATATTCTTGCATCAAAAACTACCATTATCCCATAGTGATTGCTTGGTTTACACTTCCTGTGATGCCATGGATGTGAGTTGACCCACCGTCAATCAACGCCCAGGCTGCCCGACCTTTGCGATTCTCCGCCTCCAGGTTGGGCTTTCGCTGCAGCAACACCTGCGCACGCGCGCACGCGCGCACGCGCACGGAGCGAACGTCACTGGAGATATGGGGAAAACTTGGAGCCTCTAATCAATGGCCATTTCAGGAACCTAAATTGGAGGTACCTACCATACATAAGGCCTATTTTTCGGGCCTATGTAAGGGAATATCCCATAAAATACGGCCTTATATGGTACAGTACCTCCATTTTAGGATCCTGAAATTCCCATTGATCTAAAGGAACTATTGCTTGTCCTAGGGTAAAGCAACACAGATGTGGGAAATTTCACAACACCATTGGTAAGTAGATCATTTTCATGGTTTTACCATGGGTTTTCCACATTTGTTTGTATGTTTACCCTACCGGGTACTCTTTAAGAAGTGGGGATGCCCTGCACATCCCTGCTGAAACCCATTTCGGTCGGCAAGTTGCATGAATTTGCCCATGTTTCATGGACCGGCACGCCTTAAAGGGGACGAGTATTCAACACCCAGATGAATCTGCATGATTCAACATGCTCCGACTCTGAATGTCTAAACCTGTCAACGAGGTGAATCATAGTCAGAGTAGGGTCAAGGAAGCCAATCAAGTATCACTATTTGGTTTTTTTCTCTCGGTCGGAGTGGTTCACATTCCAGTCAGCAAGTGGTTCAGAATCCAAAAAAATACAGGGGATCTGCTTGGAGGATCATCCCACTTAGATCCACTTAGTGTGAAAAAAAACCGCTGGTTACTAAGTTATACTAAGTTGCTAAGTGGTTTATCCCATTTACAACTGGCTTTTCTCAGGTGTAACTGTGGTTATTAACCCCATCACCCTAATATTAAACACCCCCCAAATGGTCTCCAAAAAATGTGGACATTCCCTATGAAACCATGATGGTTTCGTTGAACGGGGGTGTTTGATATGAACGGGGGATGGGATTCACCACTTACTAACTCTTACTGTTGCTTAGTAGGGAATGAGGGAATGATCCATATCACTAGTAATATCTAGTAATTTCATCATCCCAGCAACCCCCAGCAACCGCAACCCATCCATTCCCTACGTAAAACGCACCAGTAAGAACTGGAATGATCCTCCAAGTACAGGGTCCCCGAAAAATATCTGTGCAAAAAAGCGGCCTTCACCACGTCCAAACGTCCATGTAGAGCTGCATGGTGCAACGGTGTTCCACCTTGCGAAATTATGGGTCGAAGGCCGGAAATCCCAAAAAGTGTTCAGAGTTTTCATCCATCAAAATATCCATCATACCCATAGGATCCAGTGCATGTATGATATATATGCTAACATTTGGGGTATATTGATGGTACATGTTACCATATATTATATAGCATACATGGATCCTATGGATAGATATCAACTGAGTTTATCATTGCCAATCTTAGATACCCTGCAAACAATGACAAATTCTTTGCTGGTGAACGTAGATATTCCCATTGATACCAAAAGACTAAAGGATTAAAGTATCCATCTAAGATTGACCTAGTTATTTTCATACATCAAGATACGTATCTATCATTGATTGAACATAACGATGTTGATGATCTAAAAAAATCATGTGATTTCCATCATGGATTTCTATCATGAAGTTACATCGCTGGTCGATTTTTGGATGTTTCATACCCCTCCAAAAGGTCGCACTCAAACGCGCGCCCGACCGAAGGGACTGACTGGTTTTGCGATGGGAGTCCCGGCCGACAAACTTCTCCTTCGCATGCAAGTCGGCACGTTTGTCCAGAAGGAGTCGGACCACCTGCACCAAGAGCTTGGAAAGGACTTTTGTCTGAAGGAATTGGGATGAGATTCCGATGTGATAACTTTGTTGATAGGTCTACAAGAGGATCTTGGGTACAACATGCTTGTCCCAGAAACAAACAAATGTCAAGTTCGAAACACATTTCCAGGGGTTTCATCGAAATTAAGTGTACTATTGACTTGAAAACTACTGAAGGGTAGTCATTTCTTTTTATTGGGCTTCTCTGAACATAGGGTACCCTAAATTGCCTGGTTTATGTTGGTCGATCATCATTTTCCTGATTCAAATGGCCAGAATTGGAGCTCAATCCCCCATTTTCAGACACTGTAGGTCCATCAAACCCTATTAAACCTCACATGTTATGGCTATATGGTCATAATATATGGCTACACATGTGGCTATATATAGCTGTTACATATATATATATATACAGCTATTACGTATATATATATGGTTGTATGTGTATATATATATATTATGGTTATGTATATATATATACTCCCCAATTACTCCCCTATATATATATATACATATATATATATATATATACATCCCCACTTATTAATCAATTTAACTGGACTAATCAATTTAACTGGACTCCATTTTGGCTGCTGGAGCATCGCAACTGGACCCGTTGGTAGGCCTCAGCATTTCCTTCGGAGACACCGTGATGCAAGGGAGTATCACCTCAGAAGTTTTGGAATGGGTTTGTCTGAAAATAGGTTATCCACAATTCCAATGGAATATCATGGATTACCATCATCTTTCCTATTTAAGTGTCTATCTGTGGGTATCCCCTATTTTCAATCAAACCGGAATGGCATGGAGACATGAAACAAACAAAATTGAATGTTCCAAACAAAATCCACCAATGGATTGGTTCATTGAAGATTTCACAAGGAAACTATATGTTTAACGAGCCTGCAAGGGTTCATGAAGATTTCCCCTGAAACCACTTCTGGGAAGCCAAAGAAAGTGATGATTTTGGTGCCTTGTCCACCCGGCTCTGAGGTGGACCCACTCGGACCAATGGAATTTACAGCAGAGATTTTTCCCCATGGGAAACGGGTGACTCCACAGAGGTGATAGATTGAAGGTTGTATGGACACTCACCGGCAAAATCCTCAAGCCTGTTCTGGAGACAACCAACAACCCAGAGCTGCAGGCTCCCCCCTTCCAATTTTCACATCTCTGTCGGCTGTGATCTGTGTCCGTTCCCCAAGCAGGATCGACACGGTCAGCTACAAACCGGGCTTCTGCAATGGATGATGATGGTTCGTGGCCATCAAGGCCGGCAAAAGCTATAGCATCCATGGCAGCTATGGCGGTCTAAGATGTTTATCCAACATCCATAGCCAGCCCAGGGGTACAAGTCAGGTTTTGCTACCGCAGCTGCAGCTATAGTGAAGCTCAACTGCAGATCTACTGGAACTCTGCTCGGTGCATCAAACCACGAGCTCAGCCTCCTTGGACTTCACAATTGGATAAGAGGGCTGATCCTTGATGCCACACCTGGGCTGAAGGAGAGAGGGGACCCAGGCTGCCAGTTCTGGGATTCGACCGGGCTTTGGAAACACGACGATCAAATGCAGCGAACTTTCAAGGATTCTGTGTCTGCAGCAATAATACCTTCACCGAAAATCACCGAACCTCCGCCTCCCCCGCAGTTTTTAGAATCTTTGGGATATGGTTAGTAAGGCCGAAAGGGATTACAGATTTTTAGGGGCCTCCAATGGAAATGGCTTGCCTTTTTTCATCCAAGAGTCTCGCCATCCTTGGGGACGCCTCGCTTCAAACCTGTCGAAGTCGCTGGAAGTTTTTGGTGACAAAAAAACATGGTTTCCACGCGTGGAACTCTTGCCTCACCTGGCTAAAATCATGTTTACCACCCAAAAACTTGTTGAACTAGTCTTTTACCCAGCAAACCTCCACCCCCCAAAAAAAATCAGAGATGGTTCTTGATAGATTGCCTGTAACAACTGCTTTTGAAGATAGATCCCTTACAACATGGGACATCTGAATGATGTTTAGTTGCACTGCGTAGTAGCTGGAACTTGTGCACTGAAAGCTTTGTAGGTTTTGTACTCAATCAATGTGACCAACGGGGTCCACAAATGGGGTATACGGTATACCGTATATACCCTAATTCCACTGGTGAATCATCATCCTATTTTTCAATGGCCGCAACTTGGGCAAATCCCTTCATTTTTGGGCACTCCAGTGCCTTGCAAATCTCCAGTGTTAGTAAAGCACTGTCATAAACCATCCATATTTTCATGGTTGAAATCCCACCCATAATGGTAAACTCGGGGATGGTGGACCAACTTCGCCAAGCAACGAATGTAGCCATTCTCCCCCCAGTCAGCTCCCCAACTGTTCTTCACCTGCCACTGGAAATGTCCAGCTGAGTTGCCAAGTGGCCAGAAAATCACAGAAAATCGCCCTGACCGGCTGAAAATCCCCATCCCCCAGTGGATGTGAGTCATGATCCCGGTCACCTTCCAGTAGTCCATGCCATTCTCAGTGCCGTAGCCCACCAGCAGCACGCCATGGTCCAACTTCTTACCTGTTTCCGGCGAGGTCCCAAGCGGGGGCCCCAGTTCGGAATCGCTAAGTTGGTGCAAATAACTCCAATTTCACTTGGGTTTATGGTAGATATACCTATACTTCATTGGGAAAATAAACTAACTTATAACTGGGGGGCACCACCTTGCATAGTTGATCATCATATTCTCGATTGAAATGGCCGGGTGGAGCCAGTTTTTTAGACAAACCCTGATATAAAAGTCTAAATCATTGAACCATTAATAGGTCTATCCTCTGGTAAGCTAACGTAGTTATGGATAATCACCATTTAAATAGCAAAATCCACTATAAATGGGCAATTGTCAATAGCGATTTTGGTTTACCAAAGGGTACATAGATTATTCAAACACACTCAAATTTGATTACAACCAAATGTTCAATCGGCAACTTCAAAAAAGACAGATGTGCCATCAAAGCATGGTATATGTGGTATGGTCATTCATGCCATGCCATGGGAATCCAAACGCAATTGGTATATACCAAAAAATACCAAACAATACCAGTGATACATATATATATATATATATATATATGTACCTTCAATATAAAACCATGTAAAACCATGTAAAACGGAACATATCTTCAAAAACAAGAAATGCTAACAGTAACTTTCAAAAACATGAACTAATTCAAATTATCTTACCACATCTTTTAGTTTAAAGGGAAACCTTCAGCAATGGTTGAAACATTTGTTTTCTCGGCCAAGGCACCGCACTTCTGACTCAAGATGCCGCCTCCAGTGGGACAACCATTCTCCATGACATGTTTTTCTTTCCAGAGATTTGTGGAATTGACATATAAAAAAATATCATGTGGTTCTAACAATGGTTGATAATGGTTCCTGGTTGTTTGAATCATTGTAATCATTCAGATTTGAGACATCAACCCTCCCTTGATGATCATCCTTTCAGATCTTTGGATGAAAACTACCCATGCTCTGACAATGGCATAAGGATTCAAAAGGTATGTTCCTTGATTCTCTAAGATTGACATGCCGCCGTTTTTCCAAGATTCGTCTGTACCTCACATGCCCATTGCGAGAAAAATATACCGATTGGTCACAACTACCCTAGTTCTGACCATATCTTACACTAGCATTTTCTTTCATATTGTATATATATATATAGTACTTATAGGTACATATTACATACACAGATTAGCTACTGACTCCTGACTCTCTGACCTGTAATACCCTGCAATGGTTGATTGACATGATTCCATAAATTATGCTCCTGTGAATGGTAAATGTCCTACGTATCAGAGCTTGGATGTGCCACGCAGCCGGTGGCTCACAACTACACAGTGGATCCCAGTGGTAAATTCCGTGTAGACAGCTAAATATGGGTCACTATTGATCGCCCAGAAACCGGCAGATTGTGAGTTCTAAATATTCAGGTCAGGGCCAATCTTGGATACCCTGCAAAAAAATAGCTGGTTGGTATATATATATATATACATATACACATTCATGTATACATATACACATTCATATACATATATATATATATACATATGTATTATACATATCATAATATATGTATTATACATATAATAACACATATATATATATATTCATCAAATGTATATATATATATATCATACCATATATGTATAATATCATGTATAAATATATATCGTGTATCTATTTATATATATATATATCATATATATATATCATACATATATATATATATATATCATATATATATATATATATCATATATATATATATGATATATATATATATATCATACATATATATATATATATCATACATATATATATATATATATATATCATCTATATGTATATATATACCATATAAATATATATATATCATATATATATATATCATCTATATATATATATATCATATATATATATATCATATATATATAAATATATCATATATATATAAATATCATATATATATACATACATATATCATATATATATATATATATATATGTGTGTGTGTGTGTGTTCCCATGTCGGGGAAAACATTGGTTTGTACTCAAGTTCCCATCGAAGGTGCAGTATGAATCCTTTAACTTACTACTAAAAATATACTGGATGTGGCTGAAAATAAATAAGCTACTGCTAAATCCACTGATTCATCTTAATGTTCCATATTCAACATGCCATTGGCAGGGGGGAAAAGGGTCTACCCTATTTTCAGACACACCGAAAATCGAATTGGTGGGTTAAGTCTTCCATTATATCGCAACTATGGTGGCCTATAAATGCTCCAATTTTTGTGGCTTTTATCCACGGTAATCAAACGTGGCAATGGAAAATGCACCATTTATGGATGGTTTCCCCATTAAAACCTCTATCTACAGGGGATGTCCCATACTTTCTCATGATTTTCCCATATGTCCAGAGCGGGATGGGCCACCTTTGTAGAGCTGGAAGGCCATTTGATCTGCTTCGATGGCTACCTCGAGAAAGGTGCATTAGCGGGATTCGAAAAAACTGCAGATCAATCTCCATCAAGATATTGATAGAAAATATACTAGAATAAAATGAATAAGTGAAGTACTCATTCAGACAAGGAACATACAAATGCTATATATATATATAATGATGTAATATACTAGAATAAGTGATGTACTCATCAACCAAAAGGTAGCTCTATAACAAAGATCCATCATATTAATCCACCAACAATTAACCATCACTGGACTGGTTTAATGGAATACGTGGACATATCTATACTTGATGGTTTCAAACCATGGCTTCCGCTTTCAATCTTCCCTCCAACCAATCCATGTGCCCAAAAGCAGTTGGTTTTATCCCATGATCTCCCCATCATCTTGCTTCTTCACCCCATAAATGTTTTTCTCAATGTCACGTATTTTCAGTATTTTCCAAATCCTTTCCGTTTCACCGAGTGGCCGAGACGGGCTGCTTGGACACGGCCTGCATTAAGGCCTTCATGTTTTGTGAGTCCACGTCTTTGAAGCCCACGATGGACCCCTTCGGCACTGCCACCTCAGTTTCCATTATCAATGGCCATACAACAGGATCCGATTTATTGGAGGTACCTATACCATATATAAGGCCTATTTTTCAGGCCTATGTAAGGGGATATACCCCCAAAATATGGCCAAAAATATGGTACAGTACCTCCATTTTAGGATCCTGGAATGACCATTGACACTATCAAATAACTATTGGTTTAATGGATATAGATTGGGCTGCAATGATGAAATGTGGGTCATGGTGATATTTCACCAACAATGGTGAGGGAAGATAGTATAAATAATGTGTAAATTGGAGTTGCCCCTCCCTTTGATCAAACATGGCAATTTGAAATCCGATATTAAAAATTGACTTTCAATGGGAAAATCATCGACCCATCGAACTAAATGATGGATTGGCCAGGCCATGTTTGATGACTAGAGGGCGACATTGCTGTCAGGAATTTCATGATCAGCGTGCAGATTTCACCTTTGCAGACATGACAGGCTTTTACCAGCAAAATGCGACAATTTCACAAACTCGTATTGTGTATTCAGGAATTCATTCAGTTATTCATTCAGTTATTCATATTTTTTGTGAATGAGGGTTATTTACAACTGAATGATTGTGAATGATCCAGCACGGATGATGACGGGTCGCAATTAGTCATGATGTCGTCATAATGCTGGATGGGTCATTGTGCAACGTAGTTGGATAATGCTGTTTTTTTTCATTGTGCAACCTGGTGTTTGGCAACTTTTGAATAAAACAGCAATAGACCTTTTTTCGAGGCGCTAAATCTTCTGATAGGAGTCCGTCAACTATAGATCTACTATATAAAACCCAGATGGTTTTGTGACAAATTTGACAAACATCTTCACCAACTCAGCTACCAATGGATTGGTTTGAGGGAAAATCGGAAACCATCGATTTTCCCATTAAATATATGGGGCTTAAAGCAGTAGTTTTTGTCCCCAACAAACCAATCCATTCATCCTGGCCCTGGCATCCTCCCATCGACTTCGACCAAAACGCAGAGCAGTTGGACTCGTGGCAGGTGCCTTGCTTCGCGAGGTAAGGATAGCTGTTCTCCTTGCACACCTCAGCAACCATCCAACGACGGATCGGAGTCGGAGAAGCAAAAAATAACAACGCGAGGAATTGAATAGGAAGAATAATAGTAATAATATTAGTATAGTCTAGTAACAAGAATAATAAGAACAATAATGATAATGATAATAATAAATGATACTAGTAACTAGTATATACTAGTTAACTATTTGGTTGATACTAATAGATACTAATAGTTGCAATTAGTAGATAAATATCAACAATACTATGGTTAACGACTATTGATTGTGTAAGGGGCAAAAACAACATTGAACCATTTAACTCGGTCTAGAGATGCATGACACAGTGTTCTTGAGTGAGCGAGCTTTGAACCGTTGAACCGTTGAACCTAGCAAATATTAGCAAATCACCACTCCCGCAACTGCAAAACGTCCTAGTTTCTATCTGTACCTCGCACATGAAATCTCAACAGTGAAAAGGATCTCTATGGATCTCTAACCAGTAATGTTATATGTTGCACAGAGATACTGTTTCTATTTGTACCTCATAGTTCTATTTAAAAAAATATCGTGTTGCCGCAAGTGACGCTGTGCTTCTCCAAGTATTCAAAGGCCAAATCCATGGAACCTCCCTGGCATCCCATGTTTCCTGGCGCACCATGGGGGTACCGGGTGATCCTCCCAGAAAAATGGCCATGGAAATTGTGAGAACAACCGGTGGATGGTGCCTGGGGTGCCCCAATTTTCGGACAAAACTCTTTGATGAACATTGGATATCTGGTGAACTAGATAGACTGTGGTATCTTGAAGACTGGGGACAGATAGATATCTGTCTATCTCTCTATATCCATTTGAAGGCTGTGGTGAAACTTGGGAACTCAGGAACAAAAGAAGGGGCATAAGAGTGTAGAAAACTGGAGGTACAAGGCAAACAACCTGCCTCGGGTATCGGAGAACACTTTAAATAACACCTTTAAAACAAATATGTGAAACAAATTGAAGCAACATGTGACAGATCCATGCCCCGTTTCTATGATGCTATATACATTCCAATGCTCTTTAGTTGATTCATACCTCCATTCTAGTATGTTTTAGTTGGTAAAACAAATCCCAGCAGTTGATATTCAAAACTGTACCACCGTTTTGCAATTAAATGTGGTCAACCTCATTCAAAAAATAACACAACCATCAATTTTCCAGAATCTATAAACAATCCCAAATGTCAGATTCACTCTTGGGTTTACCCCGCAAATCACCCATATTTTAGTGGGACATTCTCGACCCAGAGTTTCACTCACTCCAGGAGATGCCCCGGAGAACCACATCCCATGCAACCCAGTTTCATTGAACTTTATCAAATCCTAATGGAACATTAGAAACTGTGGCTATGTAAAGATAGATAGATAGATAGATCGATCGATTAGATTAGATTAGATTAGATTAGATTAGATTAGGTTAGGTTAGGTTAGATTAGATTAGGTTAGGTTAGGTTAGATTAGATTAGATTAAGATAGATTAGATTAGATTAGGTTAGGTTAGATTAGATTAGATTAGATAGATAGATAGATTAGATAGATAAGTAGAAATAGATAGATCATATAGATAGATAGATAGATAGATAGATAAATAGATAGATAGATAGATAGATAGGTAGATAGATAGATAGATAGATAAATAGATAGATAGATAGATAAATAGATAGATAGATAGATAGGATAAATAGGATAGATAGGATAAATAGGATAGATAGGATAGATAGGATAGATAGGATAGATAGGATAGATAGATAGATGTAGTTAGTCCTCTGTTAATATCCCATTTCTTGCATGATTCCATTTTTATTCACCATCTGACCATCCAGGGCTCCATTCTTTGCACAGTCCACCAGCTGCTGTTCGCTGAGGGACACCAACTGTCCGCTGGAAATCTTCCAGGCCTTAATTTTGGCCCATGTCATGGGCCATGTGTGCCATGATCGAAACATGGATATACTGGGCATCAAAAAGTCGGATGAATGAGATCTTAAATCAATGCGATAACAGATTTTCATATACTACATATCCATACATATCCACTATAATGGGAATATGATATCTTACATGCGCATAAATGCGAAACTAATGGTGATATATTCTGGGATGCATAATGGGATGGCCAACAATATGAGAACTAAAAAAATATTATATAGATGATATATTATGGTGATACAAGAGGATCAGCCGGAATATATTATATAGTGGGATCTGATCTAACCAACCATTTTTTACTGGGACTGTAAAACCTATCGCATGATCAAGGCGACACCGAGTAAGCGATTGCGGAGTTGTGCCTGTCACACACACAATATCTCGATTGCAACGGCGCGATGTCCGTTTCCGGGTTTACGGACAAACTCAATTTCAAGCTAGTCAATAATTATGCTGTAACATGTGATAAACCACCTGTACATGAAAACCACTGAGCATGGTATTCCATACTATCAACGACTAACTTTGGTGTTTGTTCCTTGGTCAATCTTGGATATCCATCAAATTGGCAAAATATGATGCAGTATCACTAGTTGAAATACTCTTATGTTTTCTCTGTTAACTCCGCGCATTTTGTTTCTCAAACACCAGTAAGTTTAAACAATTAGACCAGCTACATTACCATTTTTGATCATATTGCTGCTTCAAAAGTCCCATTTTGGCATCAACATCAACATCAAAACAATAGTCAAATCCAAGGTGAACCCAACATATTTCATCATATTGTCGGAGTTAACATGGTTAAGCATAGTTAACTCCCCATTAAAATATATTAAAATCACAATTATCATCATGTTTGGAGAGTTGGAACATCTTTTCGTATCCATTAAGCCACCATTAAAGTGGTTGGTGGTTTTAACCATCTTGGAAAAAAACTGTCAATGGAAAGGATTATCCCATATATTATGGAAAATAACAAATGTTCCAAACCACCAACCAGTAAACCATTAAACCATATTAAACCCAGTAACCCCTCCAGTTTTCACCATCCTTTTTCCCACCATGTCCCGTTGATTTTCAACGCCTTTATCAGCTCACTGCCAAGCTGCACCCTCCAAGGCTCCAGTGGTTGAAAACGACCAGCAGCCTTGGGGTTTTCGATGGGAAAATGTCACAGGTTCCAGGGCTTGGCGAATTCATAGCGTTTAATGATGTTTCATGAGGTTTCATAGGGGTTTCTTGGAGTTTAATAGAATTTCATAGGGTTTGATGGGGTTTTTGATTGCATTTGATGTTGAATGAAGAGTTTAGAGTCTTTTTTCATGGGTTGAAGGAGGGTTTAAGAAGGAACTATTGGATAATTTTCTGTCTATATTCATGGTGGCAATTCAAACAACACGGGATATCTATATATATATATACAATGTGAGGCCCCCAAGATAGCTAAGTTGGTGAACATAACTCCAATAACTATGGTTTATGGTACTTATAACGAACTAGTTACTGGGGCTTTTGTTAACCAACTTATAACTGGGGGGCCTCACATTGTATGCATATTTTATATCATAAGATGACAATATATAGCCAGAAATTATTGCTTTTAATGCCCTTCAAGGCTGTTTGCTACCGGGGTGAATCATGGGATGACGATCTTATGGGGCCCACGGTGTTCACCTTCATCTCATGTGATCATTTCAAATATATTAATTATATTCTGGCTGGTGGTATACCAACCCCTCTGAAAAATGATGGAGTGAAAGTCAGTTGGGATGATTAAATTCCCAATATATGGAAACATAAAAAACATGTTCCAAACCACCAACCAGATTTCTTGTTCATATGGATCACAAAGTCGGCTGACCATTCTGTCCCAAGAAATATTCCATATGCAACAAGGCATCCCCCAGTTGGAGACGATATCATTATAATTGGTTCAATCGTTTAAACCTATATAGACAATATGTCAAGAAATATTGCGCCACTAAACATGATACAAAACAGATACAGCATGTCATATGATTCAAGATCCCTTCCAGATATTATGGAACTTTGAAAACAAATGCGTTTTCATTGTTTCTACAAGGTGGTGCCCCCAAGATAGCTAAGTTGGTTTATAACTCTAATAACTAGGACTTATGGTAGATATATCTATAGTTAATGGGATTATAAACCAGCTTATAACTTGGGGGGCACCACCTTGTATCTCTACCGTGGATTCCCAGGAGAAAAAAACTCAGCATGGCTCAATTCTGGCGACTTCCACAGCGGCCCTGATTCTTCACATCCGTCACAGCGCCTTTCCTGGCTTCGTCGAGGTGGCTGAGGTGGCTTGGGGTCCAAAAGGCAAGAATGATCGAGCCATAGTGGATGGTGATCATCACCAATAAAGGCAGTATAATCACATATATGTTATACTTATATAATATATATATATACACATATTATATATATAATCATGAAGCAGCATGAAGCAGCAGGGGCAGATCGCAGCCATTTTTTTTTTTACCCGGTCCAACTTGTTGGGGTCTTCCGTAGCTCAGCAATTGGAGAGGACGAGCGGTCAGAATCTGCAACAGCTGGCGGTCTATATATCTGGTAAATGGAGCTTCTTCCCACTAAAATCATGCGATAAATCTGGTACCCTCTGGTTATGACTAACAGTTCGCCATGGAAAATCCCAACCATAAATGGAGGTTTCTGGCTGGGTAAATCATCTATTTCGAACTGGGTCATCTATACCATGGCTATGTTAGTCATAACCAAGATGGTAAATCATGGGTTTTGACCCATCCCCACTCACTGAAGGCAGATTCTGCTCTGTATCGAAGCTTTAGTATCCATGTATTGTAAGGAACCTAGCACACAAAGGATTATATAAAATGACAATTGAGCCATACGACCATGCCTAAACAACACCCTCAACGTCCTTCAATTCTGTTTAGTTTAAAGGGGATTCATCGTGGCAACTCTGAATGAATACTTGTAGTCTAATCCCGTGAAAATATCGACCACCGGCACTCCCAAGATTCGAACAGACCTTCTGACCCAATCTGTCCATGGTTGATTAAATCCCTCAATCATTCCTCAATCTCTCTTGACCAATGACTGTCCACAGCATAGTCCACTATCTCATGACAAACGAGACATAGGTCGCATTGGTCAAAGATCGCTAATATGCCATGGCAAATGCCTCTTGCAACAATGTCTCTGGGTTACTCATGTGGATTTCTTGTCTCAATATACTTATCTGGTTGGTGGTTTCAAACCCTCCGGAAAATATTAGTCAGTTGGGATGATTATTCCCAATATATGGGAAAATAAAAAATGTTCCAAACCACCAACCAGATACTTATCATTTTATGTTTCCTATCAAACAAGCCATAAAATGGAACATCCCATTTTAAGACCCAGAAACAATGATTAAAAAAAACAATCTTAGATACCCTGCAAAAAAAAAAACGTGTTAGCTGGTCAGCTGGTCAGTGATATTCCCATTTATAGCAGATTGAATGATTAAGCTGAATTAAGCTGATCAAGCTACCCATCCAGTTGACCTAGAACTGATCCAAGTCTCTTTGACCAATCCAAGGATTTGGGCAAGGTAACCTCCTCGTCGAACTCCTCACGTCCAAGGTAAGGCAAGGACGACCAAGGCTTCTGGTTCTTGGTCATGCATCCAACGTGGTCGACGGTGAATTCCTCCTGCTTCCTGAGGTGGGATGGAAGGACTGGGAAGGGTAAAGCACGAAACATCACGAAACTCAAAATATGAACATATGATATTGATTTATATTATTGATCCACAGGGAAATAGATTACTGTAGATACACGAATACGAATGATACGACGAAAGTTGGGTGTCGGCAATGGTCTCCGGGTCGGCCAAGTGTCTTGTCTGCGAATTCCGTGACACCCAGCTGATAGCCTAGGACCGCTCCGCATCTGACTGAAGTTTTTGGGGAAAAGCAATGGGTCCATGTTCCAAATGAAAAAAGGAACTTTATTTTTAGGTTTCTATTATTTCATTATTCATTTATATTCATTATGTATCTTATGTTCTATTCATCTCAGGTCAGCAAAGATTTCATGATCCTTTCCATGGATGCAAAGTCAAAATGATCCACCAAAAAAAGCTCATTTTTCCCATAATTTTCTGATTTTGCCTATTATCCACCATTCATCGGATTCACCCAGAGATAAACTGAATCATTTCAGGATTTTCTGGGCTTCCCGTTGGGAAAGACAAGCTTCCCGTCCTACAATGTGGGGGGTCATACCCGTCCACACCGACCAGGTGATCAGGGATGGCTGCAGAGGGTTCCACGTCTGCCAAGAAACTGTGTCCCTCTTTGTTGTGCCTCAAAACATGGTGCTGGCTGCTGGCGAAACGTGCGAAGCTGTGATATTTAAAGCTGAAAGGTCTCGTTGTGGAATCCGACAAGAGAAGTATCAATCATTGAAGCTCCATGTGGTGTTTAAAATCAAATCAGGCTGGGAGCAGGATATTGAAGACGATTAAAGGATATCAAAGGAACATACAGGAACAAACAAGGGCAAATAGGACTGGTTGACTCCTATTTTCACCAGGAGTGAGGGTGTAACCACACATTGGAAATTCCCCGGTGCCCCTTCCAAAGCCGACAACTCTTGTGGATTCTGGCGCCTCTGAGTACATGTCGTGACATCTGTGATTTCACTAGCATCTCACTTGCCATCTGCTCAAAGAAGCCTACAATGTGAGGCCCCCAAGATAGCTAAGTTGGTTTATAACTCCAATAACTATGGTTTATGGTACTTATAACTATAGTTACTGGGGCTTATAAACCAACTTATAACTGGGGGGCCTCACATTGTACCAACCATCTTTTTTATGAGTGTGGTTGCTCTGAGGCGGTTAAGGCCAGGCTTTGCCCAAATTTTTTGGCACGTGAATTTTTTCAGTGGTGCACCACGGTTGAACCCCCACAAGCATAAACCTTACCAAAGCCTAAACCCAATAAACACCAATTAAACCCAAGTATCCGGATGAATTGAAGTATATTGCAGTAATAACTCACCAACCTCAAAGGTAACCTCAAATGAGGTGATTTGGGGATAGTTACAGTACCCTTAAAATTCCCATCATTCCAAGTGACGTCACAGTGAGGTTGGCCTTGTTTACCCAGATTATCCCCATCACATCCCAGTTGTACCATCATTGTCCGTATCAAAACCATTCTGCAAACCCAATACAACGAACACATACACACGTACTACAGTACTCTCATCCCACTCATAGGGGAAAAAAACACCTAGAAACCACAGTTGGGTAGGGGATTTGAGATATTTGAGACGATTCATGGGATGGTTTATAAATTAGGGGATGGTTTAAAAGAAAAACCCTAATATGTTTTATATATATATATTAAGTTATAATTTATAATTATACATATATAATTACGTATAATTTTAACATATAGATATTATACATTGATATCCACATCAAAATCAATCCACAACTGGCCATTTCTGACGTTTCCCTTATCTGTCAACGAGGCAAGGCACTTCTCGATCTGTCGCAGATTTTCAGCGAAGATCTGGAAACGGCTTTCTTGCTCCTCTTCAGAGTCATAGCTCCTAGGGGCATGGGATGATCCTTCGAAGCCACGTCGTGGCCCAAGGGGATGAAGCCAAGGCTTCGATGAAGCCGATTGGGACATGTCTACCTAACATGGCTACCTAACATCAAAGATATTCATAGATATTCGTAGATAGTTTTGTATCAATGTAAACATATGCACAGAAATCGTACTACATTTGGTTCACAACGGTTCATTGAGTTATACAAGGTTATACAAGTAGGGTTCAATGGACCTTGTGGTTTGTCCAAACAAAAACAAATGCCATGAACAAATGGGAACCACATGGCCCAGCATAGACACTAATTAAATCCCATTTCCAAGGGGGTGTGTTGCCAAGGTCATCATTTACTTTCATTAACTATCTTCCAGAATCATCCCAAATCACCACTGGAGATGGTCTTAAATAATATTATCCATGTTCACTTAAATATTTACTTATTATGGATAAATAACATTAAATAACCATCATTTACTTTCATATTCTCCAAGTGAATGAATCCTTTGAAGTGGCACGGGGTCACCGGGGGTCACGGGGTCTGTTGCTCCAACTCTCTGGTTGCATCACCCCACCGCCCCAAGTGGGGGAGAGTGGGTGGGAAGTGGGGCACCAAAAGCAGAAAATCCAGAAAACATCACTGGTGGAAAGACCTACCCTATATATGGTCAGTATGGTTTAATATGGTGCAAAATCCCATTGATTACCATACTCAGTTATATACTGTACTTATATAGCTGGTTGGTGGGAAAAACCTACCCCTCTGACAAATGATGGAGTTAAAGTCAGTTGGGGTTATGACATTCCCAACTGAATGGACAGTCATAAAATTCCATGGTTCCAGTCACCACCAACCAGATCATAATTGCTTCCCGGCTCATGGATGATGATCAATGATAATTGCTAGTGCGACTCAGTAGTAACTACAGTAGTGCGACAAGGGTACTTGGAGGATCCCACTTACTGTAGCAAGTGGTTAGAAGAAATAGTTACCGTAAAATATTTTTATAGATGGGACAACCTACTTAAGGGACTTACACTCACCAGGGTTATTAAACACAACCACACTCCGTCGGATGACCCTCCAAGTTTCGTAAGCCCTTAAGTAAGCCCTTTTTGATCCTCAACCGACAGGGCTTTTGAACATGCGAAAAAGTGGGAAGGAACAATGCCGCATGTCAATTTCCCAAGAAACTTGTGGTACTTGGCGACAAAGTCTTCGAACGCCTTGCGTACATCCTTGCCATGCTAAAAATCGCAGGGTCATTCATATCCATATGATGGACCGAAAACATGGATCGTACTATGTCGAACTCTGTGAGGGAGCCTTGTGTTGGGTACGTACATTGTGACTCAATAAACCTCTCTGGGGGTTATGACTGGGTATACAAACGCAGCCATTGACAATGAGGTGCTAACGTGTGTGACGACCACCTCACAACTGGAGCTCAACTTAGGCCCCAAAAAACTTTGCCTTTACAGTTTGCATCGTTGGAGAAAACCGGCAACTTATCCATGAAGAGACTCTAGTGTACCAGGTTTAGCGTCATTTTTTGGTTGGTGATTGACCTACCCCTCTGAAAAATATGAAAGTCAATGGGAAGGATGACATCCCATATATGAAATATAACATAAAAAATGTTTGAAACCACCAACCAGTTTTTGATATGTTCACGACTGCTCACCAATACCAAAACCGGATTCCTGCAGAATGCGCCTTGAGACGTATGGCCTAATTCGATGAGAAACTGCAGATGTTTCGAAGGAAGACTGCAGGTGGAAGCAGTGGGTACACGGATATATGGTAAATCTTTCAATGTTTACAATTGCACAATGTGAGGCCCTCAAGATAGCTAAGTTGGTTTATAACTCCAATAACTATGGTTTATGGTACTTATAACTATAGTTACTGGGGCTTATAAACGAACTTAAACTGGGGGGCCTCACATTGCACCTTTACTGAAGGATTCTGCAACCTGAACCTCAAATAACTTTTCTGGATATCCTGCTGAACTGCGGGTCCCTTAGGCCGCAAAAACCCATTGTTGAGCGGTCAAACGCTTCCATCTACAGAATCATGGATACCCTTAGATATCCTTCAGAGCTTATTTTCAGCTCGATATGTGTATTTGCATGTATTCGCCGTTTGAAACGTAAGAAATGAAAGTGTTGAACTACCCTCTGGTAAACTAACATAACTATGGAAAATCACCATTTTCAATGGGTAAATCCACTATAAATGGCCATTTTCAAAAGCTATGTTTGTTTACCAAAGGGTACCCATCCAAGGTCTACTCCTTTGTTTGACAGCTATATCTCTCGGCATTTCGTTGGTTTTCTACGCCGTTCTTCTTGCTGCTGAAGTCCCAACCCGAATCGGAAGATGATCCACAAAAATGTCGCCTAAATGTGCACTCAAAACGCTTACCCTCTGGTAAACTAACATAACTATTGAAAATGGCCCATTTATAGTGGATTTTCCCATTAAAAATTGTGATTTTCCATAGCAATGTTGAATTACCAGAGGGTAAACTGAAACCCTCATTTTTGGGGAATGACACTGTGTGGAGAAAAACATGGTTTGCTGGAACATGCCATATATTCATAGTTGATTTTCCAAGCTATAAACCTCCAATTATGTAGGAGTTTCCCAGCCACGTTTGAGAATGACAATATTACCAGACTATCCGTCAAAATCATCCAAGGTGTCCCCAGGTGTGCAGTTGAGACTCTGTCTCTCCCTTGCAAACACCCAACGCGGCGAGGAGAACTGCGAGTTTCACTGCCATGACTCTCTTGGAAAAGCGAGAAGCAAAATACAACTTGACTCGGCCAGAAGCACTGTGAACTGAGCAAAAAAGCGGCAAAATAGCGGGGATGGTCACAGCATGTATTGAATTCTTTATGTAGTATGAAATTGATACGTTTCACCTTGGGATGGTTCACACGTTTGAGAATCAAATCATCTAACATTATCATCTGGAGCAAGATGTACATACCAGATTTATCCATAGTTTTCAACACATGGTCTTTGAATCCAGTAAAACACTAAGACCATGGAAAAATATCTCGACATTTCTCGACATCCAAATTGATGCTTCATGGTTTTCTCCATACCCTCTGGTGAACTAACATAGCAATTGAAAATGGCCATTTATAGTGGATTTTCCCATTAAAAATGGTGATTTTCCATTGCTATGTTAGTTCACCAGAGGGTATCCCCATGCTTTTCAACGAAATGACTGGGATTCCCTACCATCGTGGTTGGTGGCTTCGATATCTGCACCACAACTGAGCAGCCTTGGCACTTCTTGGTGTCATCATCTTGGACACAAAAAAAACTCAGAAGATCAACAATCATCATCTACTAATAATAAATATATAATAGGGTAATAATGTATCCTAATAGATAGATATATTATAAATAGGATATAACCATCATCATCTCATCTATGATAGGATATATGAATAGATAAGAACAACTCTAATCATATATCCTAATAATACATAATTTAATCAATCATAATACTCATAGTCATGCTAATCATCCTAATAAAAATGGCCATGAAACAGTAGAACGTCAACCTCACCGTCGTTTTCCACGTTTCAGGGCGAGGAAAACGTAGCGAAAAAAGTGGATAAAAACCCGCCCAGCAGCTCGTTGATCATGTGCAAATGGCCTTGAGCCACTGCATGATGCAGTGGCATTTGTCCTGGACGATCTGCGAAAAAAGGATGGGTGATCTTTCCCGAGATAGGCTGGCCATGTACATGGGACATATATATAGGTACGTATGCGATACATATAAATCGAAGGTCTGCGCCAAGGTACTTTCTCGTTTGTGGTCTTGCTCAGGTCAAGTGTCTGTCTCAAGGATCCCCATTGAAACACGACGGACGACGAAAGACGACAAAGAGAAAAAAACGAGCAAAAGGGTTTCAAGGGTTCCTCTACGGGACCTCCGGGGGAAGAAATTCCAAGGGTTCCTCTCCGGGACCTCCGGGGAGAAAAAATAAAAATAAAAATTTTAAAAAAATTAAGACGGGCACATACCATTGAGAAAAACACATAGCATGTTTTATGCATATTTGCAATGTTCGGTCGCAAGTGTTCTTCCCCGGGGTATGGGTTTGTCTCCGGGATTTCATTTTATTTTTTATTTTTTTGGCAGCCTTGAGCGCGAACCTTCACTGTGGGAAAACACTTGGCCTTGAGAAATCCTTCGAACATGGGAAAATTTTCCGGGAATACGGTTGGGAAACCAGGACCTTTGAGGAGGGGAAAAAGAAAGCACCTTTGATACAGGGAGGAGGGTTGAGACAGGCACATACCATTGAGAAGGTAGAAAACCCTTCGTCCAGACTTTTGAATAAATATATATATATATATGTACATATTATACATACACAATATATCTATCTATATATCTATTTATCTATATATCTATCTATCCATCCATCCATCCATCCATCTATCTATCTATGTATCTATCTATCCATCTATCCATCTATCTATCTATCCATCTATCTATCTAATCTAATCTAATCTAATCTAATCTAATCTATCTATCTATCTATCTATCTATCTATATGTACACAATATATATATATATATACATATAATGATGTATATACAATTATGTATAATGATGTATATAATTATATATATGCATTGAAATCTTGAGAAAACATAGATATGAATGGAAATCATGTGAAAAACATTCTTTTTTTTGCTATGAATATGGGTTCATGGGAAATCATGGGATAACACATGCCCTGGTTGTCCCAGTGCGGGTATGACCCGGATCGTCATCTCCGCCAATTTCGATTCGATGTGAAAAATGACAGTGCCACAGTTATGGCCATGGCTATTAGTTATACCTGATTAATTTCTATGGGATTATACACTATTATACATTCTATCAATGGGCTTTTGTTAGAACTTATCTGGCTTTAAGAATCTGGCTTTGATATCAGCTGGATGGCGTCCTGGTGGATGGTCCTCAAAAGTTGACCAGCAGGGCATCCAATCCAATAACCTATCCTCGTTCATATTTGTTTTACACATCTCCTCAATAGTGCCAAATATGTGATTCTATTCCCAACAACCAGAAAAAACTATTTCTTGAGGGTGTTTCATATGATATTCCCATTCATTCCCACTAAAAAAAAAACAATGAAAGCCCCTAAAACCCAATTAATTCCCATTAACATCCCCTCGAATTCAAATCCGTCGCCCCCGCCTGTTTCGTCCGCCATGTGAACGCTATGTGGCTTGGCTCGCTGGATCTGGCGCACCGCGTTGATGTCGCCCGCTTTGGCGGCCAGGTGAATATCACCACCTGGAGTGATGGAATGTGTATGGTGTTTTTTAATGGGATATCCATCACCAAACCGCCATATGGTGGTTATGACATGTTGTGAATATCCCATCAATAAATATATATATATATTCATATCCATGTTTATGGTGTTTATGTGTTTTTAATGGGATATTCATAACCAACATATGGTTTCTAACTAGGTGAAAACTCTATGGTTTGTGATAGAACTATAGGTAATGGGGTGAAACTCAACCAACTTATGGAATGTTTATGAAGTTTTTAATGGGGTATTGTGATATTTTCATGAATATTGATGGGAGATAAATACCCTACATATATCAATGGCCATTTCAGGTGAACTGGAGGTACTGTCCCATATTTTGGGCCACACTTTGAAAGATCCCCTGAAATTTAGCCCTCATATACCATCTGGTTGTTTAACAGTTCGCCATGGAAAGATCCACCCATTTTTAATAGGTAAACCATCTATTTCTATGGGCCGTCTATACCATGGCTATGTTAAATAACCAGAGTCCTTACATATGGTAGGTACCTCCAATAAATCGCTTCCTGAAATGGCCATTGAATGCGAGGCGCATTTCGGTTTTTCGGAAGTCGTGGCCTACGACGGGAGCGTTTTTTCGACGGAGCTCAAAGACTTTTTGAGTCCACTATTTGGCATACGTAGTATATATATACACCCTCTGGTAAACTAACATAGCTATTGAAAATGACCATTTTCAATGGGTAATTCCAATATAAATCACCATTTTTCAATAGCTATGTTAAATTACCAGAGGGTATATATGTGTGAATCATACTTCTACCATCTTATACCATATTATACCATCTTATATACATATATACCATATATTTATACCATATTATATACCATATTATACCATCTTATACCTGGTGGGTGGTGCAATAACCATCTTGAAAAAATGATGGAGTTCGTCAATGGGAAGGGTTATTCCATCCCATATATGGAATGGAAAATAAAACATGTTTGAAACCACCAACCAGATACCATCTTATACCATCTTATACAGTTTATATATGCAGAAATGATATATACATCTTCTGGTCGCTGGAACTCCTTCCGAAATCATCCAGGCCCCCCTGAGGAATCACTGAGTGTTCCGCACCAAATGGAGTCGAGTCCTGGCGCATCGAACATGGGTTTTCCCAGGGAACCCGCTGGGTTTTATGAGGTTTCCAAAATCGCTATTGATGATCATGATTTAAGTAATGATTTTTACATATTCTCTGATTAAAAAAAAAAATCTGAAAGATTTTAACTGGTGATCATGATTCTACATAGTCGTTGCCATTAAAATATGGCAATCCTTGGGCTTCAGCCTTTTTTTGGCAACCATTTGGGACTCCTAGCGGTCCTAGCGGAAGCTGATGGGATGTTGGACACACCTGCCGTCACTATCTTCATTTTCAAATAATCAACTTTATATTATATACACGAGCTCCATTTGAAGTATCCTTAAACATCCATACAACTCCAAAACTTTGCACAACTTTACAACTTTGCACAAGTGCATTCAGTTATTTGGATGTGTGTCTTTGATATTGTTGGGTTTTCAGCGGGGTTTGATTCAAATGGCTTTGTCCAAAGTTGTATACTCCAATTTGTGGCCACTGAATAGTCAAGAAACTCATGATCTAAACCTCTAATCCTCAAAAAACCGCTTAGTATGGCTATTGGTATGCTCCAGTGTGTGGCCACTGAATGATACGGAAATCAATTTTCTGCAGTTTCATTTTTTTCATATCATCACTATTATATATATATATTTATATATATCTCATCCCATAACTATCCACTACTATCATTGGGCTTACCATGGCTTACCACATTATTTTCTAAATATCTAGACCACTATTGTTGGATTTTCCATGAATTTCCCATCATTTTCCATCATCCGAATCTCATCCGTCATTTTCCATATTATCACTATCATTGGGTTTACCACATGTTTTTCTGAATCGTCATAGAAATGAATATTTGACAATTAGTTTTTTTAGAACATGAGATTTACCACTGGTTTTCCACATATAATTACCCTACAACTATTCTTTATTTACCCATTTTCTAAACCACTTAAATCTTTAAACCACTGGAACATGTAAATATTTGGTAATTGAGGGAAAAATGATGCTCCACAGGATCTCAAAGGTTCTAAATTGTCTGAGATGATCCTCTAAACCACTGAAAACTGGATGGGATTTTGATCATGTTCCCATTCTTTTCCCACGCAAAAAACCATTGGATGGTGGCTTTTTTCCCTCAATTCTCAGACAGAGCCAGACTTGGACGGACTCCTGTGATATCTGTGATTTCTTGGCCACCATTGGCGTCCCAGCCTTGCAGGGCGGACGCTGGGGGTTGAGGCTGATAATCAGATCCCCCCCGTCTTGATCTACTAATGGCTTTTTATGGCTTTTTGATGGGATAATAAGAGTTTCATGGGATTTTAATTGGATCTTATAGGATTTTTTCATAGGATTCCAATGGGAGTTTAGTTGGCAGTCATTTTTTGACACCAGGGAGTTTCCCTGTTGCGCCGGGGATTTTTTCCACATCTTTGGGGATGGGATTCGATGTGCGGAGCCAAGGGGAATCAGCTTCACCTGTCCAAAGATTTACCAAATCTGAATGACAAACCTCTGGAAACATAATGGTTGTTATTTCTTTGTGTCACATACACGTAGCCTGTCGACAGATCTTTATGTTTATATTGTAACATCTTTGAAATCGACTATTGCTGTCTTTAAGTCACAATCACTGCCATCATCGTTGTGTACTTGGTCACATCTTGCCAATCATAATCGTCGTCCTTGGGCCATCATCGTCCTCCTCCTCATCATTGAATCATAGTTTATCTTTGCCACCGGGCCATCATTCTATACTTGCGAGAAGTTCTAAGTATCACACAATACTGTACATATGTTCATTATCATTATCACTCCCATTCTCATCATCACTAATTATCATTGTAATGATCGTTGTTACTATCACGCTCACCATCACTATCATTGCCATTGTGACTATCGTTTTCATTATAGCTATCATTGCCGTTGTCACTATCGCTATTACTATCATTACCATCTTCACTATCACTATCACCATCATTATCTTTACCATTTTTGCTATCACTATCATTATATATCATTATAGTCTAGTAAAAATGTGTAAAAATCAACATCTTCACCTTCTGTTCGATCCATCGGTCGCCCAGCTTGCGTCCCGTCCCGGAATCTTTTTTTGGGCGCCCACCATGGCGCCGGGGGCGTTGTAGGAATAGCGAGGCGCAGGGACAGCACCAGGGAGTGCCCCAGGCAGTCCCTGAGTGGCCTGGAACTTGGGAATTTGGGAATTCTGGAGTGGTTGATTACCCGGCCTGGTAAAACATACAAAACACGATGGAAAATCACCATCTTTAATAGGTAAATCACCTATAAATGGGCCATTTTCATCCATTTTTCATAGCTATGTTAAATTACCAGAGGGTAATTGGGGTTGAAACAAGATGACAAATGCTGGAACATGTCACATTTATGGAGTCAATAACCAACATGATGGGGATACAAAGGGATATGGAGGTTCCCACTCCATGGGCCCAGTGGGGGTACCCCGGAATCATCTATTTGTAGATGGGTTATGATTTATAAACCATCCGTTTTGGGAGTGTCCCAATTTATGGAAACCTCCTTGTTGGTTGACTGAATCCAATACAAACCCACCAGTGAAGTATGGTGAATAAATGATGTATAAATTGATGGTTTGATCTTTTAATATCACACTATATCCTGTATAAATAGTTTTTGTAAAGTAAAGCATCCCAGCTGTGGAACGGTTGGTTGGCCACTATGGTTGAACATGCGTAATGAGCCGAGGTTTATGGTTAGTTCTTATCCTGTCCCATTACAGTATTTGATAATATTGCTATTGCAGAGAATTACGCTGCCCATTTAAAAAAAAAAAACTGCCGTAGTAACGGTCAAGCTTCCCATTGGTGGTAGGACTTTTAGCCGTCTTAAAAAATCGTTGAAATCCAGATTTCTGGGATCCCTTGTTTGGCAGGGTCGAAAAGTCGTCTACGTTGGTTCAATCCATTCTTTGACACTCAAATGGATGACAAAGAATCCGCCATTCTTGTTGGCAGAACTTCAATCCATCAACCCAATCGCGGATGTCAAATGGATGTGCAATGACTCAATGACCAAGCTCTTCAGACATCCTCATCCTTAACTTGGCTTTGTTCGTTGCCTCATTAAATCTGCCAAAACTCCCTCAGGGGCGAACAGTCCTAACATGTACCCTCTGGTTATTTAACATAGCCATGGAAAATGGCCCATTTATAGATGGTTTACCTATTAACACTAGTGATTTTCCATGGCTATGTTAGTCATAACCAGAGGGTATATCTTAGGACTGTTAAACTTAAAGGAATTGTTGTACCCCCCCCACCACCTTAATATACCTTAATCCTCATGCTACATCCTCCAGATTGGCGCCAAGCCCCACCTGTGGATACATGGCTGAAGTCGTCAAGGCTGGCACCACGAAGGAACCCGGCGTCATCCGTGGCGCCGTGGTGTAGGTGGTCGGTGCTATCTGGCCGCAACCGGAAACTCGGTGTCCCAAAGGTGGTTTTCTTTTAATCATAACAGTGAAACTATAATTAGTTGGTTTATAACAAAAGTGACACTTAGGTTATTGTTGGTTTTAGATGGTTTAGCACTTATTTATTGGATTTATAGTATGTTCTAGGTTCACTAATGTTAAATATGTAATAATTAATCCACTTGGTTGTTATTGGTTTTATCATTATCATTTACCTCATTTACCTGCTAGAATGTGGTTGTTGAATACCCAATGCCATAAAACCATCCCATTTACCAACCATGACTGGGGTACACCCAATGCCATAAACCTCGATATCCTCTCATTGTTTAACATAGCTATGGAAGCTATGGCCCATTTAGTTCGATGATTTACTGGTTGGTGGTATACCTACCCCTCTGAAAAGTATTAGTCAATTGGGATGATTATTCCCAATACATGGGAAAATCAAATTCATGTTCCAAACAACCAACCAGTATATGATCATGTACCTCCTAAAAATAGTGATTTCCATAGCTAAAAGGTTGGAGTGCAACCCTCTTGGCTTCTGACCAGTGGGAACTCCATAGACCAATCTGAGTGGTTTTTTGAACCTATAACAACATGGTTTATGGCATTGGGTATTCAACAACCACATTCCATAGCTAAATGAGGTAAATTTGAATGATAATGATAAATCCAACAACAAGCAAGTGGATTCTGTGCACATTGTCAGTTGTTCTTAGCACAAAGTGTATTCCATGCGGAAAAAATGGTCCAAGTATTCCAGAAGTACAGCGCAAGTTGTGGCTATCAGGCCATTCTCGGCGCCAAACTACCAAACAATCAGGCCCACCAGTGTGCTAAGGCCGGGCCGGTTTGGTATACTATTTACCATTGTTTCCCTATTCGCTATGAATCCGGGAAAGAAAAGGACACAAGGGAGCTTTCCGAAGTCATAGTGGTAGCATGTGGTAGTCATTAGAGCATAACTTGCAGCGAAACAAATGGTGACGACTGGGGATCCCATGGGATCCCCCACGCTCCGCCTGAGTTGGTGATGCTCCAGCATAGGGAAGGACGTATTGTTGTTGCATCGGTGAGGATGGCAAGGTCAGCTTCAAACTCATCCTGACCTGGTGAGGATTAGCAGTCGGTCTTCTTTCATTGATCAAAGTACAAGGTGGAAACACTGGAAATGAATTGACATGGCAATCAGATTCTCATGGCTTACAACATACATCCTTAAGCTGATTTTTCGGCCATCACACTCTGGGTTCCCATTTGTATCGACCTGCCGGAATCTCGTGGGAATCATTTCAAGGAACATCAGGAAACATGGTGAAACACCATGTTTTACATACGTTATACCCATCAAACATGTGGTGTTTCTGTCGTGTTTTCCTTTAATACAACCATCTTCAGCCCAGTTGAGCTATGAACAATACCACAATCCCATTACATACTGGTTAGTAGATAAATGTTCCTATTCTTATAGTTTTTCCATAATCTCGAATAATTAAGCCAGTTCTTATACAGTAATGTGGCAAAGCCAATAAGAGTTTCAATCCCCCAAGTCATGGTAGCTTTGTTGTTGGCTTTTCCACTGTCTTAACTCACGCACTCTTAGCCCATCAACAGAACTGGTAACCAGGTTGGTTAGTAAATATTCCTACAATGTGGGGCCCCCAAGATAGCTAAGTTGGTTGATAACTCCAATAACTATATGGTTTATGGTACGCAAATAACGAACTAGTTACTGGGGCTTTTGTTAACCAACTTATAACTGGGGGGCCTCACATTGTAGTAAAGCCAGTTAGTAACAGATTAGCCCACTATCTTAACCCATCATGGCTCGGCAGAGGCACGCCCCCACGCTGCGGCTCGTGTTTCGACCCACGCGCCCCGGTGCCGAGGCCCAAGCTTCGGGAGATGACACGCTTCGGGTTGGTAAATGGGTCATGGAATGGTTATGTATGGTTAATGATGGTGAATTCATGGGTTATAAATGGATTATATATATATATGAATAAATGGGTTATACCAGTAGTACCCGCACGAGGCGGGGCGGAAGTTGCCTTAAAGATATATATAAGACCTTTCTCATCTATAGAACTTGCACGCGCCGTGCGCCAGCCAAGCCCGTGCGTGCGTGCACTCTGCGAAAGTGGTGTCCTGTTTCACATGTCACATTTGAAGCTCCACTTCGCCCTTCACACTTCTCACTGCACTCTTCACACTCCACACTTCACACTTCACACTCCACACTTCTCACTTCACACTTCCAATCACTTCACACTCCTTCACACTTCACACTCAACACTTCACACTTCCACACTTCACACTTCTCATTGCTTTCTTCACACTCCACACTTCACACTTCACACTTCACACTGCACTCTTCACGCCCCACACTTCACACTGCACTCTTCACACTCCACACTTCATCTCATCTGAGCTCTTCTCACCTTATCTTCTCATCTCATCTCTTCTCATATGTCATCTAAGCTTTCATGAATCACTTCCCAGTACTACTACTAAGGAACTTGCATGCGCCGTGCATCAGCCAGCCCGTGCGTGCGTGCTTTGTGCGAAGCTGTTGCAGTGTTGCTGTCCAAGAACATGACCTGCGCGCGACCCCGGTACAATGCAAACACTTTCCCCGGTACTTGCACTTCATCTCAACTCATCTCATCTGAGCTCTTCTCATCTCATTCCATGTCTTCCCATATGTCAGCTACGTTCTTCTTGGCTATTTTTATGTCAAGTACTTCCCAGTACTGATGTCTACTACAAAAGCTTGCAAAAACCACTTCCCAGTACTACTTTGTACTACAAAGCTTGCACAAAACACTTCCCAGTACTACTTTGTACTACAAAGCTTGCACAAAGCACTTCCCAGTACTACTTTGTACTACAAAGCTTGCACAAACTACTTCCCAGTACTACTTTGTACTACAAAGCTTGCACAAAACACGTTCTAGTACTACTTTGTACTACAAAGCTTGCACAAAACACTTCCCAGTACTACTTTGTACTACAAAGCTTGCACAAAGCACTTCCCAGTACTACTTTGTACTACAAAGCTTGCACAAAGCACTTCCCAGTACTACTTTGTACTACAAAGCTTGCACAAAACACTTCCCAGTACTACTTTGTACTACAAAGCTTGCACAAATCACTTCCCGGTACTACTTTGTATTACAAAGCTTGCACAAAATACTTCCCAGTACTACTTTGTACTACAAAGCTTGCACAAAGCACTCCCCGGAACTACTTTGTACTACAAAGCTTGCACAAAGCACTTCCCAGTACTACTTTGTACTACAAAGCTTGGACAAAACACTTCCCAGTACTGCTTTGTACTACAAAGCTTGCACAAAACACGTTCCAGTACTACTTTGTACTACAGAGCTTGCACAAAGCACTTCCCAGTACTACTTTGTACTGCAGAGCTTGCACAAACTACTTCCCAGTACTACTTTGTATTACAAAGCTTGCACAAAACGCGTTCCAGCACTACTTTGTTCTACAAAGCTTGCACAAAGCACTTCCCAGTACTACTTTGTACTACAAAGCTTGCACAAAGCACTTCCCAGTACTACTGTGTACTACAAAGCCTGCACAAAGCACGTCCCAGTACTATTTTGTACTACAAAGCTTGCACAAAGCACTTCCCAGTACTACTGTGTACTACAAAGCTTGCACAAACTACTTCCCGGGACTACTTTGTATTACAAAGCTTGCACAAAATACTTCCCAGTACTACTTTGTACTACAAAGCTTGCACAAAGCACTTCCCAGTACTACTTTGTACTACAAAGCTTGCACAAAATACTTCCCAGTACTACTTCGTACTACAACTTTGTACTACAAAGCTTCTACACACATCAAGTTCTTTCGCAGAGAAGCTTTTACACACAGCAAGCTTTTCAAGCAGAGAAGCTTTTACACACAACAAGCTTCTTCACTGGAGAAGCTTTCACACACAGCAAGCGTTTACACACAGAACACTTACACACAGTGCTTTTGCACATGGCAAGCGTTTACACACACAGCAAGCTTTTTAAACAGAGAAGCTTTTACACACAACAAGCTTTTACACAGAGAAGCTTTTACACACAGCAAGCTTTTACACACAGCAAGCGTTTACACACAGAACACTTACGCACAGTGCTTTTACACATGGCAAGTGTTTACACACACAGAAACTTTTACACAGAGACGCTTTTACACACAGAGAAGCTTTTACACACAGAAGCTTTTACACACAGCAAGCTTTTACAGAAAAAGTTTTTGCACAGAGAAGCTTTCTTGTGTACATAATCACAACAGGAATTGCAGCTCCAAAACCGGATCTCGACGCCAAAGCGACAAAAAGACGATTTTGAAGCACTTTTTAAAAGGAATTTATTTCAAAAGGAAAATTATTAGCGCCTGGTACGAGAAAATCTGCTGACGAATCGCTATCGCAGCCTGGGTGCAGCCACTCCAATACGATTTACGATCTTCAGCTGCAAAAGACAATAGTATTACGCATGCAGCCGCTGCACCAAGCAACCTTGACGCAGCCACTACAATGCGATCTGCAGAGACTGAGTTGCAAAACACAATAGAACTACGTGCAATGGCGTCGGAAATTGCAGCTCCAAAACCGGATCTCGACGCCAAAGCGACAAAAAGACGATTTTGAAGCACTTTTTAAAAGGAATTTTAAAAGGAAAATTATTAGCGCCAAAATTGAAAAAATCTGCTGACAAATCACTTTCGCAGCCTTGATGCAGCCGTTCCAATACGATTTACGATCTTCAGCTGCAAAAGACAATAGTATTACGCATGCAGCCGCTGCGCCAAGCAACCTTGACGCAGCCACTCCAATGCGATCTGCAGAGACTGAGTTGCAAAACACAATAGAACTACGTGCAATGGCGTCGGAAATTGCAGCTCCAAAACCGGATCTCGACGCCAAAGCGACAAAAAGACGATTTTGAAGCATTTTTTAAAAGGAATTTTAAAAGGAAAATTATTAGTGCCAAAATGGAGAAAATCTGCTGACAATTCACTTTCGCAGCCTTGATGCAGCCATTCCAATACGATTTACGATCTTCAGCTGCAAAAGACGATCGTATTGCGCATGCAGCCGCAGCACCGAGCAACCTTGACCCAGCCACTACAATGCGTGTCGCAGCATCCCGTAGCAAACCTGCACCTATCTACGGACGTGGCAACATCAAATGACGACAATGAAGCAGCCATTCCAGTGCAATCTGCAACTAGAGATTCAAGAACCGCATGGAACTACGCACGCAGACACAACCACTCGTTGCAAAACACATAGGAGGAACAATTCGCGCACAAAACGACCGCAGCCGCACCCGTCGCACAGACGAGGTACCTTTCATCGTCGGCTGCAGCCACTTTACACGGAAAAACACAAGGTTTGGTGCTCCGGCTTCCTCCCCAAAACATAGCCCATGCAACATTCATGCAGCCATTACAATGCGTTTCGCAACATCCCGTGGCAAACCCGCACCTATCTACGCACGTGGCAACATCAAATGACGACAATGAAGCAGCGATTCCAATGCAATCTGCAACCAGAGATTCAAGAACCGCATAGAACTACGCACACAGGAACAACCACTCGTTGCAAAACACATAGGAGGAACAATTCGCGACAGAAACGACCGCAGCCGCAACCGCCGCACAGACGAGGTACCTTTCATCGCCGGCTGCAGCCACTTTACACGGAAAAACACAAGGTTTCGTGCTCCGGCTTCCTCCCCAACACAAAGCCCGTGCAACATTCATGCAGCCATTCCAATGCGATCTGCCACCACAGCGTCAAGAAACGCATAGAACTACACACACAGGAACAACCACTCGTTGCAAAACACATAGGAGGAACAATTCGCGACAGAAACGACCGCAGCCGCAACCGCCGCACAGACGAGGTACCTTTCATCGTCGGCTGCAGCCACTTTACACGGAAAAATACAAGGTTTCGTGCTCCGGCTTCCTCCCCAAAACATAGCCCATGCAACAGTCATGCAGCCATTCCAATGCGATCTGCCACCACAGCGTCAAGAAACGCATAGAACTACACACACAGGAACAACCACTCGTTGCAAAACACATAGGAGGAACAATTCGCGACAGAAACGACCGCAGCCGCAACCGCCGCACAGACGAGGTACCTTTCATCGCCGGCTGCAGCCACTTTACACGGAAAAATGCAAGGTTTCGTGCTCCGGCTTCCTCCCCAAAACATAGCCCATGCAACAGTCATGCAGCCATTCCAATGCGATCCGCACTCCCCTTCCTCACCACTCCCCTTCCTCACCACTTCCCTTCGTCACCACTCCCCTTCCTCACCACTTCCCTTCGTCACCACTTCCCTTCGTCACCACTTCCCTTCGTCACCGCTTCCCTTCGTCACCACTTCCCTTCGTCACCACTTCCCTTCGTCACCAATCCCTTTGTGATGTATTATTATGTAATGTACAGTCGCACACCACCCTTCATCAAGGTCAATCCTTTTGTGATGTATTGTTATGTAATGCAAAGTCTCACACCACCCTTCATCAAGGTCAATCTTTTTGTTATGTATTGTTATGTAATGTAATGTCTCACACCACCCTTCATCAAGGTCAATTCTTTTCTGATGTATTGTTATGTCATGTAAAGTCTCACACCACCCTTCATCAAGGTCAATCTCTCAATCGCGCACCACCCTTCATCATTTCAAGTCTCAGAATTCTATTTGTCCGTAACACGGAAGTATTGCTTCCCAACTTCCTTTGATAATGATTCTTAGTGCATATTGATGGTTATTTACTGGCTACTCGTGGTTCATAATGATTCTCAATGGTTATTATTCTTACTGATTACTGATTATTTGTGCTTATTTATGGTGGTTCTCCTGTGGTTATTTCCACCAGAAGTGGTTACCTCTGTACATTGCAATTGTGGCAACCAGATCTGCGATCTGACCCTGTGAACGGAATCACCTATGGCCCACTTTGGTCCTTTGGCTTACGACATATTCTCATCATACTTGGAAGATCATCCCACTTAGTGGCGAATAATCACAGTTATAATCCATGTATAGATTTGCAGACCTACTTCGGGGACTTACAACCAGCGAGTTATGAGGGCACTTACGAATAGTAGGATCCTCCAAGTACTTGGAAAAATAATGAAGGAAAATGCCTGGTCATTGCGTACCTCATTCTTCGCCGTCTTCTTTACCAGCATCTTTGGGCAACTCAACCCTCCCTCTCAGCCTATATATTATCCATTGCGTACAATATATATATATTATATATTTATATTTATATTATATATTATCTAATATTAAATTCATATATATATAAAATATTATATATATATGTCCTCATCAGCCAATTACCCAGATACCAGCTCTTCGCTTTTTCCCACTATTCCAAGCGAACTCCAAAGGTACTACCTGGGCCAGGACACCCAGGAGACACACTGCTAGTAATTTCCAATTGGAATCACCTTGAGTGTCTCACCTGGAAACTATCATGTTTGATTGCATTCCATCAATATACCAATGACATATTCCTTCGTATCCATTAATATCTACTAATTGATATATCATAAGAGATCCGTTATAGATTCATTCCACTAAAAGTCACATAATAGTATGATGAGGTATTGATTCCACTAATTAGTTTCTTGCTGAATAGTAGTATAGATTCATATGTGGGTTTCCTAACATAGGGTACCCCCAAATAATCTAAGATCATTTTAGTTTTGAACTCTATGGTTTTGGGCACCCTTCACATAGATTCAATATCAGTGTCTATCAGTTAATATCAACATATAATATATATATATATACACATTTTATTTAATCTGCATATATATATATATCCAATCCATTATATAATATCTCATTGTCTGTTAAATAATATCCCTTAATATACATTAATATCCATTAATATTCATTAATTCGCATATACATCAATATATTCATTTCAATTAATCCACTGTAGATTTCACTAGAACACTTTTTCCCAGAAGCCTTGATATCTATTATCCATGAATATCATGATATCTAAAACGTCACCAAGAAACAGGCTTCTCGGGCCAATTTCTCCGCCAATTTCAGGGCAAAGACCTGTCCTTGCGCCTGACCCACTGCGATACGCTTCCTTGGCCATGAAACACCAGAAGATCATGGGAACAGAACGTGGATTTGCTTAAGCTACCCCAAAAAGAATCCAATAAATACATATATATATAACCCTGGACTTCCACCATACCCAGTTAAACTTGCACGGTCATGATAGTACATGACTCGCTGATAGTACATGTTTCACTTGACCCCTGAAGAATGATATAGAATGGATATGAATAGATATGAATAGATATGTATACCCCAATAGAATCCCTAAGACATCCACCAACCGCTCCAGCATCAGCACAAACCTCCCTGCAGCAGCTGCTGAACATGCCGATCAAGGCCAGATCCCGGGAGCAGCCTTTTTTTTCTAATTTGATTTTCTCAATTCCTGTGCTGCGCGTAAGTTCAGTTTGTTGATGTGCTTCTTTAACGCCAGTAGCCTCCAAGGGAGGCAGCACACACCCCAATAGGACACACAAAAAAATCTAGTGTTGCACATCGCTCATGCTACAAGTAGCATATATGCCACACTAGAGCCTGAAATGAGAAGCTCGCAAAACTGATCGTGAGAGCTTGCTCCTTGATGCAAGTTGGCATATACCTGATTTACGCACAAAAAAACTTTCAAGTCATGGATGCGCTGTGGCAATACCAAGCTCCAGCAAACACCATTACGAAAAACCAAGTTACATTTTGCCCACTTCATTTGATCTTCCTCATGGAAATTGTGGAAGAATCGCCAATTAAGGCCTCAAATTCCAAGATGCACATACGTATATACACATGCCTACATACAGCAGGCATGCATAGATCCACACATACATAGTTACGTATATATTTACGCACATGCATACATGTATATACACACACATACAATACACATATATATATACCTGTATTGCTTTTCAAAAAAAAAACGCGCACTCAGAAATTGGATCAAGCAACGTGTTTTTCTGCAGTCCTTCAGCTGGTGGTCATAAGCCTTAATTAAGCTAATCACTGCATAAAAAATTGATGAAGAAGCTAATAATAAGCATGAAGTAGATGCAGCCAAACAACATGCAGTTTCGGGATGCAGTACCAGAAGAGAAATCCATGCCTCACATTTCATTGGAGATAGCGTTCACATATAGGTTTTTTAACTGGGTATGGTGGAAGTCCAGGGTAATCATCCCATATCATATGATTTGAACTCTGAACCCTGCCTGCTAGAAAGTCTCGCAAGGAGTCTGTGCGCGCGTAGATATTTCATGCCAGAATCATAGATATCGATAGCTTGTTGTGGGGACCTAGCACACCCATGATGTCTTGGAAGCGACAAAACACCGCTGGATTCTTGAGCTTGATTCCAGTGTTCCACAAGGAAAAATCATTCATCCAAGGTTCAAATATCGAGGAGAATTTTCGATTAGCCAAAAATTCTTGGCCAGGGCATTCCTAGGCTAACCAATGTGGAGCTGGATCATCGATTGTAAAGAATTTGTTTTTTGATGATCTAGCTAAGTGTCATGGCAATTGCTGATGGTAACAGAAGCTCATGATCGGGCCATTCCTGATTGTTCGCCACAATGGATTGGCTGATCAGGCGGCCTTCTTCAGTTCTCCGCTCCACTGCGAGAGTCAGGCACGAAGCCAACCAGCTATAAGCACAACCCGGGAATTGAAAGCTTTGGCAGTAAGATGGCCCCCCCATGTTGTCGCTTTCCATACCTGGTTGATTTTGAGTAATCATGTGTGCACCAATTTCAGCGATTAATATGAATTAAAAAAGGTCACTTGATGTCCAAACATGTTCAAAGATCAGCAAAGTTGCGGATCCAACTGTAAACATAGGGTGGGACGATTGCACCTTGTTCTGTTTACACCATGCCTTGAAATCTTTGAAGGCAATTACCAAACGGTCAGGTAGACCTAGCTCCTCCACATCGCCAAAAAATCCCAGCTGGGCCAAAAGTAACCTTAGTATACATGTTGACCCATGGTGATTAATGATTGTTTTTTCAAAGAGTGGTGCCTCCAAAATAGATAGTCAACCAATTGATTGAGGTAAGTAACAGTGAGGATCCATTTGCAATAGCAACAACTCCAAGATTCAAATTGTGCATACTGCAATGCTTGAGAATGGAGTAGTGGAACTTTGGTAAAAGAATCAAGGGACCTTGGATGATCCAACAACCCTTGGTTTCAAGAAATAATTGATAACGATGGCTGATCAATTATTATAAACCCTTTTTTGTACATGGCCATTTTTGGGGTCTCGAATAAATCGTTGTTAAATTCTTCTAGAGCACACGGCCTGCCAGGCCCTCGATCAATGCAGCGGCCCAAGAACTGGGCCTGGGTGAGCTCCGTGTTCATCCAATCTGGGTGGTCTTGGAAGTCGAGATAGGATGGGGATGTAGGAGAATGGTTTTTGCTAGCATCACATCGCCAACAGAATTCATTGTTCCTCCAAGATCTCTGCAGCAACATGGATTCACAATGCCACTCCCAATCGCCTTTTAATTCAGTAACTACGAATTTTAGCCGACGAGTTCGACCATCAGGATATTCAACCTCAATCCCATCATCATAGAGTTTCCACATCGTCTGCACAATTTGGCGGTAGAAAGGAAACAGGGTCTGGCCACCACCAACCATTCGATAAGTTTCCAGAGCAAACAGGAAAAAGATGCGACGTCGTGCTGCACGAGGAAACCATAGAGGCAAACTCAAAAAACAGCAGGTAATTTTCTCCCCAATGACACTGAACTTTGCACTGTCACCGTACAAAGCAACCGGGATATGATCCCCTCCAGACATGTGACTCCATTCACAATTTGTAGCTTTGCAATGGGCCCAATAATTTCTGATTTCCTCATCAGGCAATTCAAGACCCACATCGTTAAACAAATACTTCAGTAAATCTTCAGGGGAAGTCATTGGCAAAGTCGTTTGTATTGGATCACTCTCCCGCAACTTTCCTTTGAGAACTGTTTCCACCTCGATGGTTTCCTTCAGGGCACTAGGAACGATTTCAGGGAACCAAATTTCTGATGAAGAATGGATTTGAATTTTTAACCTGAAACAATTTTGGACTTTCACATTTTTTCACCCTCAGTCCACTGGTGGTTTAAATGGTCGTCGAAAATCTCTAGCGGCATTTGCAGGATGTCTATATGATCCGAGCTTTGCAACTTTTGCTGGTAGTCCAACAGGTGTGTCCTCATTTTTGATCAAAGCTAATTCCAATATCACTGCATACTAAAAAGTACACAAATGCCATCAAATGCCAGTGTCAATGAACTTCATAAGCATCGATGCTACCGAGTTTCTTTGACACATGCATTTGCTTGCTCCATTTGTTTCTTGATGGAAGCCTCTGGTTGAACATGTAAGGTGCACTCAACATATAAATTGCACCGCGGTATTAAATGCAGGCTAGGGACTCCACTAGCGAGGCTGTCCAGCATGTGGCTGATTTGGTGATCTCGGTCCCGGTCATTCTCACCTGCGTGGGGCAGCAACACACCTATTGGTAGATACTACTTGCTCTTTCCAAAGTATTTTTAGCGATTGATGTGTATACAGTATCCACTGCAAAGTAAAGTGCCGGACCTTCAACATTAATTTTGTCACTCATGCCACGCCATCGAGGTTCCAAACGGTTCCAACAATTAATGATATAGGTTACCCCATATCTTGTCACGCCAACAGTCAAGCCCACAACCTGCGTGGATTCACACAGATTGGCTAAAGGCTTCTGAATGGCTATACCCAGAAGTGAAATCACACTAGGCCTGGAAAGATCAAACAAATGGCTTTGAAGGTGGTTTAATTTCTATTTGAATTGGACGAACCATTTGCATCACTGAATTGGGAATAGACCCCACCAAAAGGCCAGTGTCATACCGCATAACTACTTCTTCTTGGAAGTGGAAGAATCTGTGTTGCCAGCCTTCCTTTTTTTGCCAGTGATTGGCTCCATCGACTGATCAAAAAGGGTGATACCTTTTTTGGCATTCTCAAGGCACTTTTCCAACTTCGAGTCCTCCAACAAAGTGACTCACAACAAATCTGGTTCCCAACAAATTTATCGATATGGGTTATAGTGATCATTGAATTGTAACCATGCATTATCGAATATACTTATATAATTCAATGGCACTATGACCCAGATCTGATCTACTTACTTGAAAGGATAACCAAGAAATCAAATCATTATCACCATTGGTCCTCGACCCCGCTGTCCAAGGTCCCCTGCAACGAAGTCCGGTGACGAACCAGGCCAGACGACAGGGAATTGATCTCACTCTCCATCGCATTCTTGATCTTTGGGGACCTGAGCAAACAAATCATAGTTGCCATATAAAAATCCAAACACTGGATGGTTTAAAGGGGCCAGGTCATATATATAAAGGGTACTAGATTGATATACTGAGCCATGGACAAGTTGCCCATGGATTTGACCTTGTCATTCGCCTGGCGGATCCTGTTGTTGATGTCGCTGATAGCCTGGCAGTTGCACGTATAATGATTTGGATGTTTTGCTAAAAAGGGTTATCACCTGGCCTTCTTTGCATTCTTAACCAAATCCTGGCGAGCTTTCTTTGCTTCTTCCTTTGCCTTTTCCTCAGGGTCATCCTCCTTTGCCTTCTTAGACTTCCTTGACTTACGCCCTTGGCTTTTCTTCTTGTTCTTCGTCTTCTGACCCTTCTTGCTTTTCGGCTCAGCCTAGAGATTGCTAAAATCGAGATCTAGAACTTTGTGTTTTGTTGCTGAAGCTGAGCAATGGCATGGGAAAAAATATCGACACTAGTGCACCTTGGACTTGGACTTCCTTCGAGATCCTGAAGCCTTTGACTTAGAACCTTTCCTACGTCCCTCATCCTCATCATCATCATCACTGCTTTCATCATCGGAGCTGGAGACAGTGTCGCTGGAGTCACTGTCATCACCTGTGTCTTTGATCATGAACTTGTCAATGATCTTGTCGCTCTCGGTGGCCTCCTCATAGTCCTCTGTCAACACAAGGTATTGATACAATTTTGGGTGCTCGGGATGCTGTCTGACTTCAGTCGCCAACAGCTCTTTGTCCGATCTCTTGCGTGTGATGATTCCATCAACCACATCACCATCATTGTCAAACACCGGCAACATTTGCTTGCGGGTGAGCCATTGCCTTTTCCCAGCCTTTCTGTTTTCAATTGTGTTGGTCACTGACCTGTAAATGGTTGTCTTTCTCCAATTGCAGGACGACTTCCAGAAATCCTCATAGAGCATCGATGACTGCTCTTGGCCTCAATGGAGATGGAACTAAAAAATAAGAAAAGTTATCCAAAAAATGACATTTAAATCTGGGATGTAGACACCAGCGAAAACGCTTAGCCAACTTCTTGATCTCCTTTGGGCAAGACTTGCCTCAGATATTCAGTGCATAGATGCTTATAGCTAGAGATGACAGTGAATTAAAACCAAGACTGCGCACAACTACAAGTAATGCTACCTAGATACTCTTCAGAGACCTCCAGTATTTCATATACATCGCATGGACCTTCTTAGTCTTGGCATCAGTCTTCGTACATTCATTATTCTCATCCTTCTTGTTCTCCTGATCCTTTGTGCTCTCCTTGGTTGGTGTCTCCTTCTTGGTACGGCGTGGGCTCTTGGACGGTGTGCTGCTATCCTTCTCATTCGGCTTTGTCTTGTTGATTTTGATCTTGATCTTTCCTTCCTTCCGTGTCTTGTTCTTGCCAGTCTGTTTAGATTTCTTTGTTGTGCTTTCGGGGCTGGAGTTAGTGAACTCCTCATTACCACCCATCCTTCTGAGCCTCTTGAACTGTCCATCACCCTTTTCATTGTTCAATCGCTTCTGCTTTGCTTCCTCTAGATGGGCTCTTACCCTTTGTGATGCACTGCTGGCCTTGGCCTTGGGCACTGCACGGTCTTCTGCCTTTTCTTTCGCTGTCTTACCCTTGGGTGGACTTGCAACTTTGGGGGATGGTGTCTTCTTGCCTGACTCTGGGGTCTTCTCTGGCTGCTTCTCAGAGTCACCGGTGCTTCCCAAAGACTGGGATGACTTGCTTCGGATTCTGGTGACTGGTGGTGTTGGTGTCAAGTCAACAGTACGCTTACGATCTAGGGCTGCTTTGTCAACAGAGTTCAAACTTTCAGTTGATTTACCAGCCACTAAAGTGATCTGAGAGTCTGCCGCTTTGTCAAAAAGCTTGCGACGAACCCTGCACGGTGTTGCCACTGCAGGACCTGATACGCAGCAGTGCAGTCAGAGGCAGCTTGTGGGTGAAGCTGGGTTGAATAGGCCATGTTTGACAATCGAATCTAGAGTCTGAGGGATGAACTTTTCTGGGACGGCAGCTTTTGTGACCTTAATTTTGGATCAGTAGTTGTAAATTTATAAAGAGGGTTTTACTTGTACCATGGTGGATTATATAGTTTAAAAACTATATCATAAGTGATCTTGGGCCCTGACTCATCAGAACCATTGACTTTTGCTTTGGCCCTAAGTGCCCTTTCTTGAGCTTTCCGGAGGGCTTCTTGAACATCCATTGCCCCACGGATCGGTGAAAGCGATGGTTATTGAACCACTAGCAGCTGAAAAAAATCACGAGATTTCACGAGTGATTTTTTTTTGAATTTTTTGGTGACTCCAAAATCACGGGTTTTTCACGCACTATCACGCTGAAATCACGGGTTTTTCACGCACTATTCACGGTGAAATCACGCTTGATGTTTTTTCCCGAAAATTTCAAATTTTCGAATTTGAGTGTGAAAATCGCAGTTTCTACGACACACTCGCTATCGTAATTGCATATGAATTGAAACACCCTGGCCTTTCCCAACCCCTAGACTTAGAAATCTACAGGGAAAGAAGGGACATACCTGCCAGTGGCAATCTCATCTTTGATGTGTGCCTTGAGAGGTTCCAGATTGGCGTGCCACCAATTGTACGGCGCAGACTTCTTCTGGTCAGAGCCCTGGGCCAGCACCCAAGTCAGGGAATGAATGGGAATGATATATGAGGGATCTGGTCATAACTGATAAAAATATATTTCAAGTTGGATCTGGTCAGATACTTGTAATGGACCTGCATCGAGAACTGTTTCACGGAAGCCAGGAACAGGTATCGGGATCTCTTGGCCTCATGGAATGAGTTCGAAAATTAAGATCCAGAAAGCTTCAAAGGACAATTGCATTGCATGCATAAAATTGTGCTTCAAATTGTTCACAATTTATTGGATACCGATTCTTGGTCTAAGACCATGGCCATTGATTTCAAGTGCAACTTTGCCACCCGGCGACCAAATTTCTCCGGGTATACTTGTGTTTCCCTCAACCGGGGACCTCCTGACCTGGGATGCAAACAATGATTTGGTTTTTTTTAAGCCATCAGAATTGGACAATTATCTGCAATCATGAATCATGATGGTCAAAGTGGAACTTTGAATTTGCTGGTAAGCAATCTTTTGTTTGATCATGATCATAATAATCTAAGCACCTGACACAACTGTTTTGCCAGTAGTGTGGTTGGTGGAACGTTTAGTTACACCACTGGAATCCAGCTGTAATTTCACCCGATCCTTGAAGGAAAGCTTTTTGTAAAGGGAACCTGCCCACTTCCTGAGGCAGGAATGCCAGAGCTGACCGGGTGAGCATTGGTGGACACTTGAGGCTCGAGCGTTGTCCCTATCAAAAGGGTTGACTTAGCTGTTCTCGATCCATACCAAGCCATCCAACTTGGCAGTGTTTTCATTGGGTATCTGGGTTTGGGGCATGCGTGTGAAAAAAACATAAATGTGGGATTCCAAACAACTTAATTGAGGGCCCCACAATCTGTGGACTTCGATGGGGATGAATTTCTCCAGCACCCGGGTCATCCAGGTCAGATATGGAAAAAAGATAAATGTTGAGGAACCTGGTTGTTCTATCTCAAAGTGGCATGATCGCACCAAGCAAAGGGCGCAAAGCATCAGCATACGTGTAGTGATCCTAGGCCCCAGGAAAGTGCATCATTCAATGCATAGGTATTGATGAGGATCATGATGAAAAACACATTATTCACACCAATATCAACCAGGCAACACATTTGCTTCTCGGATGTAGTTTTTCAGTTGATCACCAAATGGTGTAGATGCACTTCGCATACTCGTTGCTAAATTTAGCCATATATAGCTACAGCATGGAAGACCTGCAAAAAGAAGGCCAAACTCCTTGATCCTCAGCGTGAACTCAATAGCAAGTAGCCATCCACGCCTGAGTTGGATTTTAGCGACCTATATGTTGGAAACAAATTTGAATTGAAAGTAAAATTCGTTGATCAGCAAAGTCCCTGGGATCCCAGCACGTCAAGTATGTCGTGGTTGGGGCAAGTGGTCTTCTCAAAGTGCTCCCTGGAAAGCATGGTTGTTTGTATGAATATTTGATTGTTTGATTAGTCTTGCCAGGCTCCTGAAAAAAGGTCTGGGTCCCAAACGTCCTGCAGCCACCGATGTAGCCTTATCACGGAGCAAAATGAGTGACTGCTAGCTTGCTAATTCAATCACTAGTTTTTGAATGATCAGCTCAAACAAAAAGATGAGTCTCCAACTGAAACCCCTTGAGATGGCCCGTTTACCAGCGAACAGATCCAGGACTGTCAAATCCTGAAAACACAACATCATGAGTCACTGAGCCCACCGGAGAACATTGCATTGGGTATATAAAACACATTGGGGTCAATAGCTTGGCCAATGACTCTCACAGGCATTTCACTTTGCTGCGCCACCATGTCAGCAGCGTGAATACTTAGCAGCCGGTAAGCAGGTCGGAAAGGATGAACATGAATGATTACTATAATAATGATTATAAATATATATGTAACTATGTAATGGTCCAGTCCTTTATATAGCTGTGCATAAAATGCCAAACCAATCCAAGGCCCCAGCAAGAGCAATGGGATACCCAACATGAGTAATCCCTGGACTTGACATTTTGTCAGTTTCAGTGGATTACCCATCAGGATCTTAGAAATCTGATCTAAGAACCAGCCAGGTTTGCTTGAGCAACTGCGCAAACATGTTCATCATGGTGCACTGATATGGCCATTATATCACTGCAATGGTCCTTTGTGTGAAATAATTAATGATGCAGTGTACATAGATTTGGATGTGTGTTTCCACGCTTGTTCCTTTTTTTACCGGCCATGTTGCAAGCATGCAATCCGGTGCCAGGAATCACCACAGCTGGGGTGCCAAGACCACATCACGACTCCGGCCAGCCCGCGATCATGCAGGCAGCAATCCACCTCAGGATCCATGGGGCTAGGTAATTCAGGGTTGAAATCTATGATTAATAAATTTAAACAACTATAAAAACCAACCCAAATATATTTATATATATACGTATATATATCGAATCTATCTATATATTCCACAGTCATGATCTTGATCACAAAAAATCAACACCGGCCATCATGATGAGGTTGGGGCGCTTCATGGATGCCCTCAAACTTACTCCATCCCAGGGTGAGCCCTCCAAGTCGGTTCGCCTGGCAAACCAGTGTTGAGAGAATGAAAGAGAGAGGGAGCGAATTAGTAAATTAATCTCGTCAAATCAAATGGAATCAATGATTTCCCCTGCCTTAAAGCTACCACCATGTTTTGAGTTGAAGTCGTCAAGAAGTTGCTGATCCACTCGATTGAGGTAAAAGCTCCTTGCATAGAGCCTAAGAATCAGTTATCATGAACTTCAAACAAATATGTTTCTTTTCCGGCAAAATTATTGTGTCTAGATCAGATGTTTCCTATATGCCAGCCCCGATTGAGGCCAGAACACCACACCAATGGTGGGAAAATCGCTCTCTTCATCAGGCGCGCTCAAAGTCCAAGACCTGGGTCAGTGGGAATTTGCGGAGGGAAAAAATAGCGTTTGATTCAAAATCAAAATCAGCCAAAATCTCTGGGTCCCAAACTTTCTGGCAGGATCAGGGACGTCAAGAGAGGGAATTCTTTTGAGGTCTTCTAGGTCCACTTTCATTCGCTCATCAAGTTCTGAATCCTGCAACAGTCAAACATCCATTCGACTTAAAACTGATGGACTTTACTTGGATGCACTGCTGAAATGTAAACAATTAAACACATTGAATATATGGGTCCTTTGAGTCCGTTGCATCACCTTCGGCGCGTTTGCGTTTGGAGCTTGATGATCTAGTCGAAGCAGGTCTTTTAATGGCCATGGGTTCTTTGGTCTTTGCGGCCTCCTCTGAGACTTTATGTTTCCCTTTGGTAAGATCTGGAATTGGCTGAGGTTTGTTTTTTGCCCTGCCTCTTCCCCTTCCCTGGCCTGTTGCACGGCCTCGACCACGGCCCCTGGCTTTCGAAGCTGGACGCTTCCTCACATCCAAAACATCACTAGACACTTGGGATGAATCTTCACCCCTCTCATCTTCTTCCTTTCCTTCTGCACTAGCCTGCTTCAGAACCTTTTGTGCCTGTCATTGGTGCCAACACACACATATTGATAAGCTAAAACTACATTCTTGATTTGATTCAGTGATGCAATGATCAATTCAAAGATTTTTTCATTTGGTTTCGCCTTCAAGATGTCTTCGTTGTCATTCCCATCTTCTTTAACCAAATCGGCAAAAGTGTCTTGGGCCACCTTGTCAAGGTCCTTCGGAGGGTCCTTGAGTAGTGGCTTGCGGTCCTGGCAGCAGTAAAGATACCATTTTTGTGAAGTACAAGTAGAACTAATATGTAAAAGGTTCAAACATTGAATTCCTGAATTGTTGACCAACAAGTCAAAGTAGATAAGTTGGTGTCCTTGTAAGTACCTTTCTTGAAGTCCTCTTCTTCAAACTCACCATCTTGTTCGTTCTGACTGTCAAGACCCTCGTCTTCCAAACACTCATCCTCTGCAGCACCCTCATCCTCTGCAGGACCCTCATCCTCATCCTCAGCATCCTCATTTTCTGGCTTATCATCCCCCTCATCACAAACATCTACCACTTCATCATCAGTCCGGTTTTCTTCTTCCCCATGCTCCAGGCCACTGGCTGAAGCTTTGGCATTCGACGTCCCAGCCTCATGCTGCAGGGCAGGAAGTGGTGTTCTAGCACTAGAGTTCGGAGATGGGAGACAAATCATACCCAGATATAATAATAGATGATCTGATCAATATATTTTTCACTAAGGATAAGGATCCCTAGTTAGTTTAATTGCGTTTTTGCTATCGATCCTAGATATTATCTGCAACTCTATAGGTAGTAATAGTGTAAACAAAACTCAGGGCTGGACATTTTCGTCATTGCCATCACCAGCTTCAGGGTCGGGAGCCGCTTCCTTTTTGAAAATCAATATGAATTCCAAAGGATAGTTGCTTTAATCGTCCTTTTTTTTTGCCCCCCATTTTCATGACTAGATTTACGAACTTCACTGACTTCAGAGCTGAATAGAACCTGGCCTCGGCAGCGGCCTTGACAGCGACAACTATCTCCTTGAGATTCTGCATTCTTTCGTGGCCTTTCCTGTCACAATAAAATTCTAGTCCCATAATTTCAATTTTGGGGATGAGGAGACGCTTATTTTAGAGAGCCAAGGAATGAAATTCACCCCGGCCTTGCGTCTTTATAACGCGAGACTCGGAAGCACACATAGGAGGCAAATCCCCGAAGAACAGTGGCTTCGAATTCCGCCCACACCTGCGTAGATGAATTGGAATTGATGACAAAAATTGTTAAAGAACATGAAACAAGGATAATCCCAAATAGGCACCTGGCCTTGCTTTTTGCTCTCCCTTTGGCATTGTCCTCAAAACTATTCAGCCTATAGGTCTTGTCAGCCTTGATCATGGCGACCTAGCCAAGCGAAGTCAATCGATGAAGGTTCTTACTGAGGGAAAACCATCAAAATACGCTAAATCTCTGGCACCCACTAGTTTCATAAATAACTGTAACAACGGTGCCTGCACTTCTTTTTGTGTTGGCAAAGAAGCAGCAAAGCTGCTCAAGTAGCTGCTCATGATCTCCATGTTGTTGTCGGTCTCTGTTACCTTCAAAATTGATGGTTGGGTTTGCTAGCCACAAAAAAATGCACACAGGAAAATTGAAAACAACTATAACTTTCATGTATGTGGCCTGCTTCTCTGTAATTTTGGAGCTCTGTCGGTCTAGGAAAGGAAATCCTTTAACCTCCAGGTGGCAAAACAAAATCATTCCATATATATACTCGTGTGCCAGGACTATCCATGCAACATTGATGGTGGCATAATATATGGGCCTTCTTGCCCTTTTCCTTGAGTTTTTTCATCATTTTCATTCGACGATTGATGTACTCATTCGTCAGGATGTCGTTCAAAAGTTCCTTCCCCAATGATCAATAAAGCAACAAACAGAAAGGAAATGGGAATTGGATTGGTGCCTGTCCTCCACTTCTGCCACTTTCTCAGGATTTGGCTTGCTGTCCGGCATGACCGTGCCCACAGTGGTAGCACAGCAGAGCAAACCTACAAAGCTATATATATATATATATGCCCCATGTGATGAGGAAGCCCCCATAGAACGGTAATAATTAAAAATCCTTATGATTCATGAACTTTAAAGGTAATGCATTGAATTTGCAACTCTTAAGGGGATAGGTTTGAGCCCAATGTGCTTCGATTTAAAAGTATCAATGACGACTAAATAATTGGGTCCAGAATTTCTCTTTTAGGTCATATGCAAAAACAACCCACCAAGTTCAGCAAATTCTGAAGCAAAACTGCATGGATGGGAAAGCGCACTTGTTGTCTCATCCGAAGAGTTATTCTCAGCGTCAGTGCCTCAAGCGTTTGCATCAGGTTCCATCTAGCTATATACCCAAGGGGACTGAACTATCATAGCTAGGGCAACAAACCTGAGATATTCTGAGTTGTGAACGAAATATCTTGGCTGCACGCTGCATGAAGACCTTGGTATGCTTTTTGTCCCAAAGAAAACCTAAATTAATTGGTGCCAACACAAACAAACTAAGTGAGGGACTGGGCAAATACCCAATATGCAGCTGGTGCACAACATCCATGCGCTACATTTTCTCATCTAAGTAAGTAGGGGCATCTTGAGCCTGCATCAATCCTGCCATGAAAGCTTCCAATGCATATGAAACCCACATCGGTCCAAGTAAAACATGGACGGTGTGAAAGGTTCAAGTTAAACTTGTACTTTAAGAAGGTGCCCAGTTAAACTTGCACGGGGAAGGTCTGGGTAATATAATGTATAATATATATTATATAATATAATGTAAAATATATATTAAATAAATGTATATTGTATAATATATATGAGAACAAATGAATCCTTGTTCTGGATATCTCTGATTGGTGGTACCTTAGTGCTGGGACAGCCGAACCTAACGAAGCATTGCGAGCATCACGCGGTTATTTTCCTCTCAGCGGGCGCTTGAGCCACAATGGGCGTCCATTATGAAGTGCAATGTCCATATCATATATGCACCTAGCGCCTGGTTCCCTTTGACACCCCCCATGTCCGTGGCATGCTTCGCGCCACGAACACGAGAGAGGGAACTTTGAATTAGACTCTTTCTGCTACTTGAATTACGCCTATGTACATAAAAAAAAAACCTGCCATTCGGATCCCCCTTTCCCACATACCCGTCGGGTATAATGGCTCCGGGTTCACCTACTCTTTGGCTGTCGATGCATCGGCGTTTTATCAAGCTGTACAACGCGAATTATTGCTAGCTAACACCTACTTTTCTACGTTGGCTAAGTTCACCACTCACCCGTCGGGAGAAATGGATCGCCTCGCTACCAAAGATTGACAGTGCTAACTAACTAATTCACGTGCACAATGCAGAATCTCGTGCAGATTGGGAAAATCAAAAGTTCTGAACCTAAGCGAATTAGTCTAATGCCTCGCTCAGAGTCCACTCAGTTGGTCTTTTCCTGATCATCTGTTCACAAAGACGATACACATCTTATAGACCAGTGATCATGAAGCAGTTGGTTTACTCCTCACGGCGGACTTTCTTCCATTGGGGTGCTGATGGAGGTTTCTCCCATTGTGCCGCACGTTTTGGAGCAGCTTTCGGCGATGAAGGCTTTGCAGGCGGCGCCTTCGATGGTTCATGGGACTTTGGCATAGCCTTGGCTTTTGGTGCGCTAGCCGATGAGGATGATGCCGAACCAGTGCCTTCAGGTTTCTGCGAAGGTTGCGCGGGTGGTTTGGTAAACTTGGAAGCTGCAGTGTGCCCAACCGCCTTGAACACTTCGCTCACCACTTCGTCACCAAGAGTTGGAGCCATCTTCATTTTCATTTCGGTCTTTCCCCTTTGCGCTTCAGCCTCAGCCAGCTGGATAGCATATGCCATCTTGCTGACAAAATTTTGTGGTAAGGCAATTCCACACTGTTGGGCTGCAAAGAGCAACTCTACTCTCTGTTCTTTCTCCCTTAGGCTCAGATAGACTGAGAATGCCGGAAGTTCGACGCAGTCGGGGAAGCCGTGGCTCCCGGAACGAAAGAAGGTGTACGACTCGTGCTCTGGGAACGTCCCTTTGAGAAGTCGCCGAAGGAAATTGCTGATTGTCACTCGCATCTCCTGCTTCCCTTGGGCATCAGCCTGCATTCGGTTCATTGGCATGAGGAAGCCTAGTGATTCTGGAGTGTATCCGGCGCATACCAGAAATTCCATCATCTTTTCATAGATCTCCAAAGTCTTGATGACAGGCATCATCATGTTTCTGGGTCGCCCTGAATACAACTTCTCTCCTTCTGACCATGAATTCCTCTTCGCTTTCTCCTGAAAGAGTTCATCCAACTCCAGCTCCGTCGGTCGCTTGAGGTTGCCATCCTGATCTTCTCCTGTATAAGGACAGAAGTCGTCCAGGTCCAGCCGGACTCGCTTGGTCTCAGTCATCATCTCATGATATTCCTCTGGGGTCATGGTGACTCTTTGTTTGTAATAAAACCGGAACATGGTGATGATCTTTGACATGACTGCATTGTCATATAAGTGAGCCGCGGCCTCGGAGACATCATTGTTGATAAGTCCATCTTCTGGCATACCCTTGCTGCCGCTCTCGAGGTTCTTGGTCCACGCTGGAAGTTTGTTAGAGGGTTCATCTTCGGGTTCAATGTCCATTTCGTCGTCGTCATCTTCAACGATTTCATCGTCCTCTTGTTGGGCTTCCTCCTCCTGATCCATTTCCTCATCATCGCCTTCGTTATAATCGACCTCATCGGGATTGAAGCCATAGTCGTTGGATTCGGACACATTCTCTTGTGCTTGATTGACCGTATCCTTGAACAGTGACTCTTCTTGTCGACGAACTTCTTCATCGAGCTCTTTCTTCGAGGCCTCATCCTCATCATCTTCAGGAGCTTGTAGCCGATATGGACGGATTCCACAACTTTCAAGTTCCGTCCAGCAGACTAGACAAACTGCTAGCTTTGTCGGCGTCTCATTGAGACAGTGAGGACAATGGCGGCAGCCTGATGTTTGCACCCTTTTGCGTTCGACTATATAGTCAATCAGCTTGATGCGGGCCATGTATTGTTCTTGTCCACCAGGTTCGATGAGGTTGTTCTCAAATTTGTTGACGATGTTCATGGCATCCATGGCGGTTTCGTCAAACGGTTGGTCTTCGGCGTCGATGCACTGCCTTGCAACCCTCAAGATGGACTCCTTGGTGGCTACCGTTCTTGATTTGACCGTTCCAGACCGAACTACCTGGTCGTCGCCCGACGGGACGAACAACCGGAGCCACGTCTTATTGTTTTGGTCTCTGGGGTCCTGAATCCATCCTCCTTCGATTGCCGAGAACGGGATGATCTTTGGTGAAACGATCTGTCCCGAATCAGTCAGTCGACCGCCATATTCCACCATCAAGGTCTCAGTCGGGACGAACAAGCAAATGTAGTCCCCCCTTCGCGTATCAACGCTCTTCGTGATAGTCCAAGATCTGTGATCCCAAGGTACATACGGGTTGAAGAACGTGAACATCCGATGACCTTCTCCAAGACCTCCTGGAATTAATCCCTGCCTCCAAATACTTCGAAGGTTGGTCTTCTTGGTGATGTGGAAACAAACCGGTAACGATAAAATGGTGTTGGGCGCGATTGGATGTGAAAGTAATGAGGACAGCAATGAGACGTCGTCCCTTGATGATCCTTCTTTGTGCCCCGTAGGAGCACGGACCGCTACAGGGTATAGCAGTAGACCTTCATCAGGGATGTTCGTGTCCGCATCAACTTTGTTGTCAATGCACGTCAGGCTTGTGCGCTCAATGTCCTTGTTGATGCCAAATGCCAAGACTTGTTCACGAACACGACGTCCATACCGGGCACAGTGGAACATGATCTTGAAGAGCAATGTCATGCGGAAGTTTGCCTCTTTGAGGTTCCACGCACTCTGATCATTTGCTCTCCCTTTTGGAGCAAGAAACACATGTGGCCAGCGTGCGTAGTCGTGCCTCCAGATGGACTCACATTTGAGCACGTCCTCGATGGGCACCCAGCCGGCGTCATCACATGGCAGACTTTGTTGCTCTGATGCTTTCCCCACGTTGTGCCGCAGGATCCTGTTTAGTGATGCACTCACTTTGTCCTCGTAAGTGTTGAGTCGGTTGCCAGTGTCAAAGCGGTAGTTTGCTGCATATTCGACGCCGCCGAAATAGGAGCAATTGAAGAAATGCGCCCCCGTCGTTGGGATGATTTTCAAGAAACCATCTTGCGGCGCCTCAACTCTCTTGTAGAAGGGCTTCCTGATGTTGTTATCAGAATAGCTTGCCATGAATTCTGGCACAGACCACGAGTCGCCTCCTCCTCTGACAATAGCGTCTCGGATCACTTCGTTGAGGTCAACAATGTTCTGTGGTCCTAGCTTTGTGATATCACGTCCTTCTATGCAGAATCTACCATACTCATCGAGGTCACCAACTTCGGACATGGTTCAGATGCAGTCGTACCATTGGTGTTCACTAAACCTCGATCTTGTGGGTTCCTCCGTTTGCCCCGACCCGTTAGTAGCACCTGAACCGTCCTTCTTGTGCTCAGGAGGCTCCATATCGACGTCATCAGATGTTGGACTATCAGCCTCGAGCGACGCTCGGACGGCCTTTAGCACCTTTCTGACTTCATCTCTCTTCTCATGTTCACATTCAAGATGGCTGTGCTTGGTGCTACCGCAATACAAACACACATTGACATCCTCGGAGACGGTGAAGATTTTTCCCAATGCATCCAAAAGCTGTTGCTTCCCGGAAATCTCTGAGTCCCTGACCACATCGGTTGGATCATTCGCTGGCTCATCAGCTTCCTCCTCCCCAGGGTGAGCCGACGACTCGTCACCTGGCTTGGCATCTGCATCAGTGCCCATGCTGGCATCATCCCCTGTGATGTTGTTCTTCTTCCGATAGTGGGTGAACACCTGGTCCTTCTCCCAGTCTGTAAGACAGCAGAAGTTAGCCAGTGAG